GCCTTTTGAGCTTGGGCTTGGAGTTCAAGCTCGAGTTTGTGCGAGGCAGCTTTACGTCTTGCACGAAATCTACACCACGTCCGCGGCTCCCCGTGACGAGGGACTGCATTCTACAGGATTCTCGCAAGGGCCTTGCGCAGCTGACGCCCGAGGTGCTCAGGATCTCCAGGAGCGTGGTTTTGGAGTTTGTGGACGAATCGAGAGATGATTTGGGTGGATTAAGACGAGAGTGGTTTCACCTTGTGTCGCGGGAGATTGGGGAGAAGCTGTTTACCACAGTTGGGGATGATCGCTACCAGCCATATCCAAGCTTGTCCGATAGCAACCTCTCGGACTTTAAGTTCGTTGGTCAGCTGGTGAGTGGTTTCTTTTTTTCTATTTTTCTCAGTGCCAACCTTTCTCTTTGTTATCAGGTAGCCAAAGCTATTGTGGACGATGAAAGGCTTGATTTACGCTTTACTCGCACCTTCTACAAGCACATACTAGGACAGGAGGTGACATACAAGGATATGGATGAAGAGTTTGTCAAGAATATTACTTGGTTGCTGGAGGTACGTTTCTTTTATTTGTTTCACTTCTCTTATGAAGGTTTTTATTATTGCAGAACAACGTTGATGAATCAATAGGCCTGACTTTTAGTGTGGATATAGAGCATTGTACATCAGGTGGAAAAACTGAGGTAACTAGAAGTTCATTTAAGCTTGTTTATAAGGCTGATTTTGGAGTATAATTACAGTTGATTACCTGTGATCTTGTGGCTGGGGGAAGAGATATCTCTGTGACTGATGCAAATAAGCACGACTACGTGATGTTATTAGGGGAATATTTGATGACAAAATCAATCAAGCCACAGCTAAATGCATTTTTGGATGGGTTTTATGAATTAATTCCTATTGGCTTGTTATCAAACCTGAATGCTGATGACTTGGAGTTGCTCATATGTGGATCTTCTAAAATAGATGGTAAGTTTTTCATAAATTAAATTATGTATGTCTAATATAAATTCTATGTATGCAGTTCAAGATATTAAAAATGTTGCGAAATGTAAGCATCATCACCATATTTTAAAATGGTTTTGGACCACAATTAAGGGCTTTAATGAAAAAAACAAAGAAATGTTATTGAAATTTATAACTGGAAGTCCAAAGGTAAATATATATATAACTCAAATTGATTTTTATTAACTTTTTATTTATTAGGTTCCATTTTCTGGCTTAAACAGTTTTTATATTGGTTATTTAGAAGAAGAAAATCATTATTTACCAGTTGCAAATACATGGTAAGTATTTCACTTATATTAAATTTCTTTACTAAATATATGATTTTATTGTTATAGTGTTAATCAGATTTTGTTGCCTCTTTATAAGTCTAAGGAACAACTTAGAGAAAAATTATTATTAGCGATATACGAAGGGGCTGAGAGGTTTGGTTTTTAAGTTGTTCACTATAAATTTAAAATAATTCTTTTGTATAAAAATGTATAAATTTATAAAAGTGATTTCTCCAAATTGAAAAATTATAATAATAAATTTTATAGCTTCAGAATAACATAAAATTTTAATAAAAATAGGATAAAATGGACTATGTTTTGTGGTAATGGATATACCTAAAATATGCTTAGATATTCTAGTATATTCTATTAATTCATGCATTTAGATTAATTTATATTTATAAATTATAAAAAATAATAATTTTTAAGGTTTCAAAAGTATATTCAATAGATAGTTTGTTTAAAAGCCCCTTTTTGGTTAAAGTTGGATTTATAATTATCTCAATATTAATTCCCAAGAGTAAAAATCTTTAGGGTTGGTTGGTTAAATAGGCTTTTGCAATTAATGACTTAATATGGCTGATATAGATATTTTGTTTTGTGCACCATTAGTGGTTGCTAATGGGTTGCCTCCTCCATTTCCAAAAAATGAATTACCTCATCAAGTGGTGGGTGCTAGTATGGATCCACTAATTGCAAAATGTTTTGGGTAGTGAGCTTTATGATGATTATAATTTTTTGGTGTAGAATAAAAAGTTCAAGGTGGTTAAAGATATAAATTGGTGATGGTGTTGAGTAGCAATTGGTAGTATTAATATATTATTTGAACTTTTTGTTACCACTTAGGGTATTACAAGGTTTTAAACAAGCCATGGCAACCATTTGCAACATGATTTCAAGCATCACAACCCTTGTTTGATTGACCATTTTTTGGGATGGTGGATTGTTTTTTCAATAATGATTATGCATCTTTTGATGATTAATGATTTTTTATGATGGTTAATTGTTATTTTGATGGTTTTTAGTTTTTTATATTACCATATGTTCTTTGTTGTTTGTTTTGGATTGGTTTTTTGGGTTTAAGATATCAATAAAATGTTGCTGACACTTGCTTGAGCAACTTTAATTCCTTTGTATTATTGATTAGAATTTATCTAGATTAGCTAGTGTGATAATTAGCATAACCAAGTGTTTATTAGCCCTTGTGGCATTAATTGGTTCTGATAGATTTGAATGTTATTTCCTTTAGATGATACATTTCCTTTAGCTAGTCAATGATATTTTGTGTTCTTTAAGTTATCTTTCATAAATTGTTTGGCATATTATCTACAAATTTTAGTAGTTTAGTTTTATCATTGAGTTTTTTTGATGATATACTTGCTATTGAATTTTGTTAGATGGTTAATCCTATGACTTTAAACTAATGATCTTGGTGGTTTTTATAATTCTAGTAAATTAGATGATAATTTAATTGGAATTTGTGTTCTAATCTAAGAATAATTTATAATTTAGTCTTTAAGATATCATTATTTCTGACTTTGATATTGTTTATCTATTGATCTTTGGATTTAGACCAATATAAGTAAATTGGCTTTAGCACTTTGTGTGCATAGTGAAATCTTTAGTTATAAAATAACTATAGTCAACTAGTCATATCACTTGCCTCTCGCTTTTGATGTTTTTTACTTTGTTAAAAGGGTATAATTGTGTAAATAACTTTAACTACCTATTTACAATAATTTATCTAAACCTTACCGATAGATTTAGTTTATTTGTTTAGCCTTTGGCTTCTCTCTCTATATCACTTATAAGCAAAGGCATATTATCTTTTGTAAATTGAGTGAAATCCAAAGTACCAAGGATGGCTAATTCCATAGTGACGGCCAGAAAGTATTTAAATGGTAGTGCATTTTCATTAGACAAAGAAGTTACCCTTTAACTCATTTAAGTTTATACATTTCTCACAAAGTGTGAATACTATAAACTTTTATTAGAGTTATTTTTTTAGTGGCAGTCTAAATTAAAGCATGCATCGACACACACATCAATCCTCTCTAAGGGAGGAGAGTGTCTTGAATGTGACTAGGTATCAAAAATTACTTATCAACTAGTCTTTTCAAATATTCTTTTCTTACTGCCACGATAGCAAAAGGTCAGTATTGTTGGACCCTAATTGAGAAATTAATTATCATATATGTACTTATGCTAAATGAATATAAAGTAGAAACTCCTATGTGTTTTCTTGCTAAACATATTTGGCCTGGTATGAAAAACTCATTTGCACTTGCTAATGTTGAGAACCATATTCAACTTAGTCCCTCAACGTTCATTAGATGATAATTTACTATGTCCACTAAGATATTCTTGCTATCATTCCCCCATATGTTAATTCCATTTGGTTCTATTGGTTATTTATGGAAAGTGTTTAGATTTGTTAGTTTAGCATATATACAAAATGTAAAAATTATCCTGAACATAATGATATTGTTTGCATGTTTAAATTCACAATCTAATGTCATTTGATATTGAGTAAGTTTTCATAATTACCCCAAAAACTAACTCTTATGACTAAGATGAAAGCCCAAAGCATGTTTTCTTAGGGGGAGGGGGAGCTTTAAGGGTTTCCAAATGTATAATAGAAATAGTGGGGGGAGTTTTAGGGGTTTTCAAATGCCAAATGCAAAACAAGAATAAACATGTAAATAAAGAGCTAACTATACCTTTAGTTGATTAACCATGCCCAATCTACCCACCATTTCTATTATACTTGGGTTCAAATCTAAACTCTATACCATGCTAGCTTAGACACTACAAGGTTGATTATCTATAGTTAATAAAAAATAATAAAGTTTTAGTGGAATATTTATATACTTGCGTTATGCTGAAATAGTGCCAAACTTTATTTAGCTCTATTTTATATGTTAGTCGGTGTTGGGATGCTGAATGCTTTAAGATTATTCCTATATCATCCATGCTTTTGTTCTTTTGCTTTTTTGGTTAAATGCTCAAAAATCATTTTGTGTTTTGGTTCTTTTGCTCCTTGGTTGTATCATCGAGAGTTTAGCTTCATTTCTTCATTTAATACCCCAAGACCCTAAACTTGGGTTCCACTTTGTTGCTACCTAGCCCATATATTGGTTTGATTAAAATTTTGCTTCATAGTTAATCTATGATAAATCACTATAGGGTAAATGAAAGCTATATGTGCTACAAATATTTATTAACTAATTCTTTTAGATATTCTACCACTATAAAAGATTAACATTGATAATTCCTTTTATTAGTCCCTTTTGTTTAAATGTAGTAAACTGTACTAAGCCAAATAAGCACAAAGTAGAAACTTCTATATATTTTTTATTAAATATAATAGGTCTAACTTTTAGTTCTTTTTTGCTTTATTTTTCACTAATATAGCAAAAACCCTTATATATTGAGCATTAGTCCCTTAATATTGCTACATGATAATTTATAGTATTTATTAAATATTCTTGTTATTATGCCCTTTATGTTTATTCTATTTTGATTCTATTAACTTACCAAAATAACACACTATAGTGTTATTTCCACATCTAAATTTGTAATATTTTTTTAAAGCAAGCTTTCATAATTTATAAATGCAAAATTAATCTTATTTAGAATAAACTGAATTATACTAAGAAGTATTTAATAAAAAAGTTTATATATTATAATACAAGATTCATCTAAATGAATAAAATAGTAAAATATCCTAAAATATTTAAATATGTTAGTTATTCCTTTATATAAAAAAAAGAAGAGGTCCTTCTAAAAAAAGTGAGTGTAGAAGAGCCTTGCCTACCTGGTAACAAAAAAGAGAAGTCAATCATCCATAGCCTGGGACAGCAGTTCCATTTAAATCCTGCAGGGGAATCTTGCGTCTTCTTACCAGAAGTCTCGGCAAGAGCAAACACCACCCTGGAAAACGTGGAACCGATTCGAGTCGCGCACAACGATCTGGCGCTTGAAGATCTTGGATATAAGCTTGGTGGCGGTGTGGCAGTCGGGGCACGCCCGCAAGTTAGTGAGGACTCGCAGCGCTGTTCCTGGAGCGGTGCTCATCATCCCAAACGCGATGGCCAGCTTCTCGCTGTGCAAGCAAACCAGCTGTTCTTTCACCTCGTCGCTCAGCTCGTAATGCAGCACCTCTCCCGTGTCTGGAGAGTAGCCCCGCTCCACCATTGCGGCGTGGATCTTCCGCAGCTCCTCGTAGATGTCCTCGTTCTTGGGGTGCGAGGCATCTCCAACGACGAACTTGTGGACCCTTCCATCGATCTCGATCATGCTTACTCCTAGCAGCTTGGCCAGCGATCGTTGCTTCATCATGCTCCCCACTCGAGCAGCGTCGTCGTGCCTCCCGGCTGCGGCATAGACGCTGGCCAGCGTCACGTACGGGACCGAGCTCTCGGTGGCGAGCTCCAAGAGTTTGTCGGCGATCTCCGCCGCTCGAGCGGCGTCGCGGTAGATCTTGCACGCGCCCAGCAAGCTCCCCCAGGCGGCCTCGCTGGGAAGAAACGGCATGCTCTCGATCAAGTCGTGGGCTTCCTCCAGCCGGCCCGAGCGGCCGAGGAGATCCACCATGCAGCAGTAGTGCTCCTGCGAGGCCTTGATCCCAAAGTCGTGGAGCATCGACACGAAGAGCTCGCGGCTCGTCTCCACGAGCCCGAGGTGGCAGCACGCAGCGAGGAGGCTCATGAAAGTTAGATCGTTGGCTCTCACTCCCTCGGAGCTCATGGCCTGGAACACGGCTAGAGCAGTCACTCCCTGCTCGTTCTGAGCGTATGCATGGACGAGCGAGTTCCAGGAGACAACGTTGCGAGAGGCCATTCGGTCGAACAAAGCTCTTGCCTCGTCAAGATAGCCGTTTTGAGCGTAGCCCGCGAGCATTGTGTTGTAGAGAACGGTGTCTTGCTGGTGGTGCGCCGCCGCCGTGGTAGACTTCTGGAACAGGAGCTTGGCCTCCTGAATATAACCACGCTGGGCAAAACCGGCAACCATGGTACTGACCATCGCACCGTCGTCCAGCTCATGCAAGCTCGCAAACATCTTCTTGGCGTCCTGGACATGCCCGTTTTGCGTATAGGCCGCGAGCATGGCGGTGCACGAAACAACGTTCTTCTCGGGTATCTCATCAAACACTCGTTTCGCGCTGGAGAGGAGACCATTCTGTCCGTAAGTCGCCACCATCGCGTTCCACGAGATGATGTCGCGCGCGGGCATTGCCGCGAACACGGCCTCGGCTTCTTCCAGGTGTCCGTTCGCAGCGAACGAGGAGGCCATCACATTCCACCCGAACAAGCTCCTCTCGGGCATACTGTCGAAAGTTTGCTTGGCTTTGGCCGCGGCTTCACACTGCGCGTACGCCGTCACCATTGCCGTCCACGAGATCAAGTCGTGGCTCGGCATTTTGCGAAACGTTGCTTCCGACTCGCCGAGATGGCCCGTGGTGGCGAAAGCCGAGAGCATGCTCGTCCAGCTTACGACGTTCCTGACTGGCATCTTGTCAAAGAGGAGCTTGGCACCATGAGAATTGCCACTGTGAGCGTAGGCTTTGATCATACTCGTCCAGGCCATTGCGTTCTTCTCCTGCATTTGATCGAACGCACTCTTGGCTTCCTCCACCAGCCCATTCTCTGCGTAAGCCTGGACGATGGTGCTCCAGGAAAGCACGTCTTTCTCCGGCATAGCATCAAACAAGGACTTTGCTTGCTCAAGCTGGGAGCTGTGAGCAAGCACCGCCACCATGGCATTGCATGAGACCAAGTCCCACTCCGGCATCCTGTGGAACAGAAGTGTTGCTTTGGCGAAGTTTCCAGCCGAGCCAAGACCCGAGAGCATCGAGTTCCAAGTCACGATGTTCCTCGCAAGCATCGTCTCGAAAATCCGCCATGCTTCGTGTGATTGGAAACTTTGTGTGCAGCTTGCAACCATCGCAGTGCAAGCGACCACATTCCACATCGGCATCCTGTAGAAAAACTCTCGAGCGACGGATGGTTCCTCGTTTTGTGCCCCGACTATGGCAGTCCACGAGAAAGCGTCCCTTCTCGGCATAGAATCAAAAACTTCCTTGGCTTGTTTCGTATATCCGGCTTGGGCATACGCTTGAACCATGCTGTTCCACGACACGAGGTTCTTGTCGGGCATTGCTCGAAAAATCTCTGCTGCTTCTCTTATACTTCCGCTTTGGCTGTAAACTTGCGAGAGGGAGTTCCAAGTTACTACTGACCAGTTTGGCATCCTATCAAACACGGCCTTAGCTTCTACAAGTTGGCGGCTCTGGCCATAAACGTTGACGAGAGAGCTCCAAGACACAAGATCCCGCTGACGCATAGCTTCAAAGACTTCTTTGGCTCTAGCAACATCAAAAATTTCTCCGAGCGCTGCAACGATCGAATTCCACGACACAACATCCCACTGAGGCATCTTGTCAAAAACCACCTTAGCTTCTTTGTAATACCCGTTCTGGGCATTCATAGAGATCATCGTGTTCCAAGAGATAACATTTCTCTCGAGCATTTTCTCAAACGCCGCTTTGGATTCCTCCACTTTTCCCAAGGTGGCATAGGTTGGAAGCATCGCATTGCATGACGCTACGTCCCATTCTGGCCTCCTGTGAAAGATCCTCTTGGCCTCCTCCAGATACCCATTGCGGGCATACGCTACCGTGAGCAGGCTCCACGAGAGCGAATTGGAGCTCGCGGCTTCCTCAAACACGATTCTCGCCTCTCTGGGGCTGCCACATCGCCCATACATCTGGATGAGCAAATTCGCAAGGAACCTGTCCGGCCAGATGCCGCTACCGACGATCCAGGCATGGACCCGCCTGCCCTCTTCCAAATCTCTGGATTCGCCACAAGCGCGAACGACACTGGCGAGGAATTGGATGGAGCAGCGCGCCATTCCATTCCTATCGCCATCGAAGGCCAGCCAGAGGACGAAGAAGCACGAATATGCTCTTTTGGTGCCTTAAAGCACTCGGGAAGATTAGGGTTCTTGGGTTAGAGGGCGCTTGGCTGGAGGAGAGAGAGGTATGGAGCGGGCGCTGCGCCGGCGCCGTGGATTGATGGGTTTGTTTCTCTCTTGTCCAGGCTGCGCGAAGAATCGAAGATGAAAGAAGAGTTTCGGTGCTTCATCGGCGGCCTGTCGTGGAGCACGACCGATCGCAGCTTGGAGACGGCGTTCCGGCCCTATGGATCCATCATCGAAGCCAAGGTTACATTGAGTCTGATGGATGAGATGATTTGCTCTCTTTGGGTCGGTCTAGGCACCGGCTTCCTTGCTTGCCTTCTTTTGTGCAGAGTTTCTCAAGGTAAAGCTCTACGAGGTCGTTTAAGTTCGAGCTGGATCTTTCCCTTTGCTTGGATCCTCGTGGATCTCTCCTCTTGTACGCTGGTACTGATCGCTCGCTCTTCCCTGTAGGTGGTGTTTGATCGCGAAACCAACCGGTCCCGGGGCTTCGGCTTCGTGACTTTCGAAGACGAAGAGTCGATGGAGAATGCCATCCGGAAGATGCACAACCAGGAGCTGGAAGGCCGCTCCATCACCGTGAGCAAGGCCGAGCCGCCAAGGAGTGGTGGTGGCGGCGGCGGCGGAGGAGGAGGAGGAGGCCGAGACCGCGGCGATCGCTACGACCGAGACCGAGAAAGAGGCGGCGGTGGTGGTGGTGGAGGAGCTAGCGGGAACTGCTTCAAGTGTGGAAACAAAGGCCACTGGGCTCGAGACTGTCCAGAGAGCGGCGGCAGCGGCGGCGGCGGTAGAGACAGGTATGGAAGTGATAGATATGGTAGCGACCGCGGAGACAGGTATGGCGATGGTAGCCGAGGCAGCGGCGGCCGCTACACTGGTGGCGGTGGTGGTGGCGGCGACCGAGGTGGCGACCGCTATGGTTCCCGGGACAGTGGCCGGAGGTCCGGACCGTATGATCGCCCCTCGAACAGGTCCTCGAATGGAGGCAGCCGAGACGATCGCTACTGACACCATGGAAAGAAGAGAGAACTCACGATGATCTTGTTCGTCTTTGTTAAATACTTCACTTTCTTGGAAGATATTTTCCTCTCTGTGTGGATCTCTCTGTCGGAGATCTCTACTTGGTGGATTTTCGCTCGAATCCTTCGTGGACGGGCTCGTTCCAGGCGGAGGCCTCGACGCCGGTGACCCGAGCTGCCGCGGGGCCGCTGTAACACTTTTGGATCATCGCGTCCACCGCGGTGGTCTTGCCCGAGAAGACGGCCTCCACGGAGCCATCCATTCGGTTCCTCACCCAGCCATTGATCCCGAGTTGCTTGGCGGTGTCGATGGTCCAGTTCCGGTAGAAGACGCCCTGGACCATGCCTTTGATCTTCACATTCACCTGGAAGAAGAGATGGGCAATTGGAATGGATGGATTCGAGTTGGAGGCTCCACTCCACTCACCGTTTTGTGATCTGGGCTAGGACTGGGGCTGGCATTCCCGCTCATCCTCCGGCAGCGAGTGGTCAGGGAGGAACCTATAGCGACCGAGGACGAGCACTTCATTTGCTTCCTTTGCCTTTTAGCCTAACGACGGTGGTATATTCCGCCCCCGGCTTTCGCATATTCTCGTCATTTGGCTAATTGGGTTTTTAGGCATTTGCTAAGAGGACATATGCCGCAGCCCGAACTGGATCCGACTTGAGCACTTGCCTCGTCGCCCGAGCGCCTCGATTGGGATCGCGGTAGCTCCGGCACGAACCGAGCAGCGATGTCCACTCGAGAAAATCGGGCTCGAAGGGCATTGTGGCGATGAGTTCCTGGGCGTCTTCCAGATACCCCCCGCGGCCGAGGACGTCGATCATGCAGCCGAAGTGCTGCTTGTTTGGTTGCAAGCCGAAGTCCGAGGCCATGGAGAGGAAGTGTGATCTGCTGGTGAAGACTTTGCCACCATGGCTGCATGCGAGAAGGACGAGCAGGAACGAGGCTTCGTCGGCGAGGTCGAGGGTCTTCATTGTTTTGAAGTGGTCGTAGAGAGGGCCTGTGTCCCCGCTTCGGGCATACGCAGCCAGCATTACGTTCCACGAGATGGTGTCTGTAGAGGGCATCAAGCGGAAGGTCTTCTGGGTTTGCGAGAGATGCCCGTTTTGGGCGTAGCCGGAGAGGAGTGTGTTCCACGACGCGGTGTCACGCTCAGGCATGGAGTAGAAGACGACCTCGGCCTCCGAAGGTTGGCCGTTTTGGGAGTGAGCCGAAACCATGGCGGCCCAAGATACCGCGTCCAGCTCGGGCATCCTCTCGAACACTTGCCTGGCTTCCTGGAGATGCCCGTGTTGGGCATACGCTGTAAGCATAGCAGTGCTAGAGAAAAGGTTTTTTTCCGGCATTGAATCAAACAATGCTTGAGCTTGCTCAACGTCCCCGTTTTGGGAGAACGCTGTAAGCATTGCAGTGGCCGAGAATAAGCAGTGGCATGGCATGTTATCAGAGAGATTCTTAGCATCTTTGAGATAACCATTGTGGGTGTATGCAGCTAGCATGGCGTTGAGAAGCACGTCATCTAAAACTGGGGCGCAATCAAACAGGAGCTTAGAGCTGTGTAGATGCCCTCTTTGGGCATATGCGGTTATGATAATTGTCCAGGAGACCAGATTCCTTTCTGGCATCTCGTCGAAGATGGCTTTGGTTTCTTGAAGATCGCCATCTTGCGCGGAAGCGTCGAGGATTGTGTTCCAGGCGACGAGATCGAATTCGGGCATGCGGTGGAGCAGAAGCTTAGCATTTAAAATATGCCCATTCATGGCATATGCGGTAAGCATTGCGGTCCAGGAGATCATGTTTCGCTGTGGCATTTCGTCAAAGAAGCGCTTGGCGTCCTCGATGCTGCCGCTCTGCGCTGCGGCAGCGAGCAATCCAGTCCACGACACGAGACTGTGCTCGGGCATGGCGGAAATCAAAGCGCGCGCTCCTTGCAAATCCCCCATACCAGCAAATGCTGACAAGGTCGCGTTCCAGGACACAAGATCTCGCTGTGGCATCTGGTGGAAAAGTTCTTGGGCTTCGCTGCCGCAGCCGTGCTGTGAGAATGCAGTGAGCATCGCGTTCCAGGAGACCAAGTTCTTGTCCGGCATCAGATCGAAGGTCTCTCGCGCCTCACGGAGATGCCCGCCGCGGGCATACGCGCAGAGCGCCAGGACCCAGGAGTAGCAATCTGTGAGCGGCATCGCGTGGAAGACGTTGCGCGCGTGGGCGGGGCTGTCGCAGCGGCCATACATCTCGATGAGCTTGTTGGAGAGGAAGATGTCGCGCGTGGGGGATTGGGGCGGTAGGCGCGCGGTGCGGGAGTGGAGCTTCTCCGCGGCGGGAAGGGATTTGCAGGCCTGGATGAGGCGCAGGCATTCGTTGCGCTCTTCCATTCATCCATCTTCTTCGTCTACAATGGTTAGGTCTCTCATATTCTCTTTCATTTTCTTCTCTCAATGACGCATTGCCACCTCTCGCTAGCGCCGCCTTGGCAGGATTGGAATGGCCGCGCGCTTGGGCGATCCGGCGCTGCTGGATTCCAATTGTTTGGGGTGGAGAGGAGGAAGAAGAACAGATTTGCAGGGAGGATCGAGGCGGTCGTGAAGCGCAGTCCAAAGCGGCTCAAGTATGACACGCCTGGACCTGGCGCTGGCAAGGTTTGTTTGCTCCATTTTGCCTTGGCAAATCCCATCCCATTCTTTCTCTTCTCCAGTCCAAAGAGATTTTCCACCTGGAGATAGATCAGTTTGGATCCAATCTCTGGAAGCTCGACCAGGTCGTCTCGCTGCTACAAGATGGTGGCGTTGGAGTCGTTCCTACAGACACCATGTATGTATCTCTATCTTTCTTCCATGAACTCTAAGAACTTGTCTCTCGACTTTCCAGATACGCGATCGTTTGTGACTTGCACAACCGGGCTGCTATCGAACGCCTCTACAGGTTTGTGAGGTCTCGTGCTTGCAAGGGATTAGTTCTCACTGGAAGCTTGCAGGATCAAGGACATGGATGCAAAGAAGGTAAGATAGCTTTAACTTTCTCGTGTAAAAGAAGAAGATGGAAGGAGTTTTTCTTCTTGATCTTGCGCAGCCATTGAGCATTCTGTGCCGATCGTTCCAAGACATCGACAAGTATACCACGGGCTTCCCTACAAGTTTCTTCCGCGTTGCTCGCCAGTGTCTCCCTGGTCCGGTACGTAAAACTTTCATGCTTTTCCATGGTTTCCTCTTTCCAACGTTGAGGGTGTTCGTCACAGTACACTTTCATCCTCCCCGCGAGCAAAGATATGCCAAAACAGTGCACAAGATTCGGTGGAAGCGTCGCAGCGAGCTACGCCCCTCGAAAGAGCGTCGGTGTTCGCATCCCAGACGATGCGGTGTGGAGAGAAATGGCTGGCCAGCTTGAGCATCCTCTACTTTGCACAAGGTGCTCCATTTGATCTCCTCGAAGTTTATAGCTTGCTTGTGAGTTACCAGCGTTAGGAGACCCGCCGACGATGAATGGATGCTGGATCCAGCGATCATCGCTGACACTTACGGAGTTTCTTCCGGAAGAGAGGTTTGCTTGATTCTCATTTGCTTCTGGTGCAGCTCTCGATGGATCCATGCAGAGTGTCGACTTCATTGTGGACGGTGGAACTCGAGTCGCGAATCCCTCCACCGTGGTGGACATGACAGGAACCATGCCTGTAGTTCTTCGAAGAGGAAAGGTTTGCGAAGTTCTCGTTTTTTAAAGTTCATACGAGCGTCGCTAAAACTTTCTTCTTTGATATATTATAGGGAGTCCTGGAAGACTGGATGGTCGGAGATACAGACAGCGAGATTGTGAATCCATACTCGTAGCATATAACTTTCTGATGATCCTCACGGCTGTGAGGTGTCAAACGAATAATTGGAGCCTCCGGAGACAAGGAATCGTTAGAGCTGCGAGCCGCTAGATACCGCTGGTTGCTTGGAACTAGACCCAGGAACTGGTTGTGGAAGAGTTTGGCCATCCATCGGACTGGCTGTTGCTACTGGTGACATTCCTCGAGCTCGCGACGCCGCCAGCATCTCCGTTCTCGCCATCTCCGCGGAGAAGAGCGAGGCTGGGAGAGCTCAAACAGATAAGACGAGCAATAACTGAAAAGCTTCGTACCTCGCTTCCTTCCAACCGCGATGATCTTCTTCAGGCAATCACGGAAGTCCATGAGAATCAGTCGCTCCTGCTCGGCACACAAGCGCATGCTGCTCTCTTCTGGGCTTTGCTCCTTGCACGACGAGCCAAGGTCCTGCTCGTCGCACATAAGAGCTTGCGTTCCCGGCGAGAGCTCGCGCTGGTTCCTAGCCATTGCGGAGGTTGCTTCGGAGTCTCTCGCGGACTCCTCTTGGTCTTTCTCTTCCACATCTCGTTGTCGAGCCTGCTCTCCTTGTTGCGACTTCGTGGATTCTATCACCGGAAATATAAATAACGTTTATACGAGAGTGTGAAAGTGAAAGCAATGCTCACCAAGAAACGTTTTGGCTGTCTCGGCAGAGACAATCACGAGCAACTTGCAAAGCTCCTCCACCACCTCAGGTTGCACAACTCCCGTTAAGAGTGATCTGGAATGTAAAGTATGTAAGAGAGAAGATCACGTAGCTTCTAAGATAATAGGAACTCACCCGCGAATCGACCTTACTGCAGGAGAAGTTTGCAGTCCTGGGCCTCCCAAGGTGGTGCTGAGCAGGCTGTTAGCTGCTCTTAAAGCGTTCACTTGCGCCTGAAAGACCAGAGCTCTTCAACCAGCACTTCTCTCTTAGAAAAAAACAAACAGAGAAACACACGACACAACGTACCTGCGTCGCTCGAGACGGCTGTTCTTTCAGCGAGTGGCCTATAAATACAAGATCTTGTGTTCTTCTTTTCTTGGCAGCTGTTGGAGACGACGGCGGGCAGCTCAACAATCCAGTTGACGCAGAGGCAGCGCTGCCGCTGCTCGCTGGCGGGGAGAGAAGATCATGAGGCAGTATTCTCCGCTCATCACTGCCATCGAAGTTCCTACAATCCACACATCTGCAGTTCTCCGAGCAGAGTATGTTGGCCTGAAAGCACTCGCAGTACTTCTTTAAGCAGCCGGATTTCTTGCACTGGCAACCTTTGTTGTGCCTGGCTACGGTCGCTTGAGGCTCTCGTACAAGTTCCTGGATCAAAGAGAAAACACAGATTAAAAAGTCCGAGACTGAAACGCTTTCTTACCTGGACTCCAGGACTGCTGCCAATCTTCGGTCGAAAAGCATTGGGATTCCGCTCTAGAGCTAGCTCCACAGCTTCCTGCCTTACTTTCTCATTCTCGGAATTGTTCCAGCAATTCAAGCAGTTGCATCCATCGCAATAAACACCAGAAGCAAAGCATTCACAGTACCTGTTTGATCTCAAAAGCTTCTCTTAGTAAGAAAAAACATGCAAAGCTAGCTTACTTACAGCTTTAAACAGCGAGAGTTCTTGCAATTGCACTGCTTGGATTTCTTTGCAAAAGTTTCTCCTTTTTGTGGCTTTCTGTACGAAGAAATTGAGAACCAAAGGAAGGAAAGGAGAAGATCTTACATGGAAGCCGTAAAATCGAGCTGCCTGACGAGTTTTCTCCCGCTTAGCTGCGCCTGCGAAGGTCCGGAAGCTTCAATTCTGGAAAAAACCAAAAGGAAGTTACAGGAACCACAAACGAAGAAAAGAACAAGAAAAAAAATCGCCGGTTACTTTTGAAACAATGGCTGTTCTTGAGTCGTTTGCCAGATCGATTGACCCAATCCTGTAAACAGCGCTCCAAGGAGTGATTTGCTAGAAAGAGGCAGAGCTTACCTTGCTGGGGGTTGTGCTCCTCAGGCTTGTCGCCCGGAGGCTGCTGGAAGGCATCCATAGCGTTTGCTCCAGAAACCTAGGTCAGACACACACAAGGCAAGGGGAAATTTGGCATGGAAGGAGGAATGCGAGGGGCCGATTCGCACGATTACCTCAAGATCAGTGCCTCTCACGCCGGGAGCTCCCCTCCATGCCAAAGATCCAGATTGGGGCAAACAACAAGGGCGCCAAAACGCTAGAACAAGGGCGGGAAGATTAAGCCGCAAAACAAACCAGGGGCGAATATTCGCCCACTAACACACGTCCATGTCTGTGCGCATTTGCCCGGACTGGGCATTTTGGGAATCTTAAGAAATCTTCGCAATGAATGAGCGATGGTTTCTCCAATTAAGCGACCAACTTGCTGTGATCAATCCAATTAACAATGTTGTGAGGCATCCCGGCTAAAGCAAAGATCTTCCATACAATCAACGCGAGTGGAATGGAAGAATTTTATTCTTTGCTTCGATCGTCTAATGGAAGAACTTTTCTTTCTTTGCTTCGATCGTCTAGAGTGGAATGGAAGAACTCTTCTTTCTTGCTTCGATCATCTTGAAGAACTTTTCTTTTTTTGCTTCGATCGTCTAGAAGAACTCTTATTTCTTTGCTTGCTCGCTTGCTCGATTCGTTTCGATCTTCGGGTTTTGGAAAATCTCGGAACTTTTGGTACGTATCTCTCAGATGAGATCCACTCGAGCAGGGATTATTTTAATTGTCCACAGTGACCGAGAGTGGAAGTGGCAGCAGCTATACGCCTAGAGATTGGCATCTCTCCCTCCATCCGTATAGACGATGATGATAGCTTGCCAGCCAAGAACCTGCGCTGCTGCCATTTATCCTGGAACGAAAGCAAAAGCGAAAGCTTAGTTTTTCCAGATAAGCAAAGCAAAGCATCGCACAGAAGCGCGCAGGGGATAGTGTAGCACTGAAGATGAAGGCGATGGCGAGAGAAAGGAGAGAGAGACGAAGAGAGCGATAGCTAAGAAGCCAGGGAGAGGGAGAATATATAAGAGACCATCGCTCGTAGAGGTAAGGCTGGTTCCTCCCTCCATCGCCATGCTCCTCCAAGTTCTCTTCTTCGCTTGCTTCCTTCTCTCCGGCGATGCTCTCCCGATCGCCAGTAGCGCCAGGGCCACCTCCACTGCTGCTGTGGATATCGAGGCCTTGAAGGAGCTCAAGGCCGCCATCGATCCTGCCACCATCGCCCCGAGCTCCTGCCTCGCGTCCTGGGATTTCTCGCACGATCCCTGTGCGTCCATCTCCACCAGCTTCTTCGTCTGTGGCTTCCGCTGCAGCAATGGAGCTCACCCAATGCGCATCACGGAGATCACCCTCGACAACGTCGGCTACGCTGGGAGCTTGTCTCCATATCTTGGCAACTTATCCTCGTTGCAGGTCCTCGACGTCTCTGGCAATGCATTCCACGGCTCCATCCCGGAGTCGCTCAGCAATCTCCGGTCCCTGCTCAAGCTGGAGCTCTCCCAAAACTCCATCTCCGGATGGATCCCGCAGTCTCTTGGAAGGCTCGATAAACTCGAGTACTTGTCACTGGCCAGCAACGCCATCGAAGGACCGCTGCCTGCTTCGCTAAACCGGTTGCACAGTCTGGAGAGGCTCGCGGTTTCCAACAACAGGCTGAGCGGTCCCATACCGCTCATGACTGCCATGTCCAGTCTCCTGTACTTCGACGGGAGTACCAACCGGTTCTCTGGCTGGGCGCAGTCGGAGCTACCTCTCTCCTTGATGGTGATCTCGCTTCGAAACAACCAGCTCCAAGGCAGACTCCCAGAGTCTCTCACCAAGTTGGAGCAGCTCGAAGTCCTGGACCTCAGTCACAACGATCTCAGGGGCCCTGTTCCAGCTTCACTCTTCACCTTGCCTTCTCTCCAGCAGCTCAACCTCGCGTACAATCAGTTCGTATCCGTGCTCGCGACGCCGGGCTTGGCTGAATGGGAACAGGCAGCGGACAGCAGCCAGCTGATCGAGATCGACCTGAGCTTCAACCAGTTCCAGGGACGTCTTCCAGTTTTTTTTGTCCAGATGAAGCGGCTCACGGCTCTGTCCCTCGGGCATAACCAGTTCAGCGGGCTCATTCCCATAGAGTACGCGCTCAAAGCTGTCCGGATGCTCATCGGTGCGGAACCACTGATGCGTCTCTACTTGGAATCCAACTTCCTCGCCGGGGAGCTCCCTTCACCATTTCTCAGCATCGTGCCAGGGGAGGTTTCCGGTAGCTTTGTGGGGAACTGCCTTCAAAGGTGTCCCGCGGAGCTATTCTTCTGCCAAGGTGGACAGCAAAGGTCTCCTGCTGAATGCAGCAAATTTTTCGAATCAGCACCTTGATTAACTGGAATGAACAAGAAGCTCCTACTTACTTGTAGTTTATTCAAATCAATATCCATTTTGTAGAGTCGTTTTCAGCGCAGAAGCCTGCCATAATTCATACACCAGACGGCATGCAGACCGATGCCATGCCAGAGTCAAGGAATACCAGCTGTCGGTAATAGAGAGCATTCATAAACCAAAACCAAAAACCACCTGGGTGCATATGAATAATCCATTTAAGTTGTACAAAAAAGCTTACTTGTCTTGCCTTCAAACACCAGACAAACGACCAAGGTGGTGAGCACGACACAAGCAAAGAACCTGGCATACCTGAAAAAAATAGCTCGAGCTTCCGTCCCCGCAAAAACTTTGTCCTAAAACACAAGCAAACCTGTGCTAGCAATTTAAAAAAGAGCACTTTTATGCTCCAAAGAATGGATGCAGACTTATTCTGGAGAAGCACCAGTAATGAAAAAAAATCTTCTACCTACCTACTTCCCGCAAGCGAACCTGTTCGCCATCCCCAAAATAAGTTCTATGCTTGTAAGGATCCCGCCAGCACTCGTCTTCTTTGACAGCATTCCGCCACCGTTGGGAAAAAATATTGAGCTCGGCGAAGGAACGCTTGCGAACCTGTCCAAAACCGTTCTGCATCATCACTTTTAAAATGGAACCAGGAACTCACCTCTGATCTTGCATCGGTTCCAGACCCCAGGCTTGCCTGCAATGTATATTTGATGTTAAAGAACTTGCGAAATACACAGGACGGTTCTCATAGAATGGCACATTTGACTTGCTTACCTTACTCTTTGCTGGACCGCCTAAAGAAGGAATGCCTCTGTGAACAATGTACTCGCTGTCTATTACTCCAACGCTCTTGGACCGGTCTCCCTGCCGTAAACATAGCTGTGAAGCATTGTAGGGAGGAACAGAAGTATACCTTTACACAATAACCAAGCTTGAAGTCCATTCCCCATCCGTGAACCAAGTCGTTCTGAAAACACGTAGGTTAAGAACCTGAAGCTTATATGTATTAGAGACACACAGACCTGGATGAGGTGCCAGACACATTTCCATGCATCTCGTGTAAAAACAGGGGCCATGCCTTCGACCCAGCTGAAAGGAAAAATTCAGGAAGAGAATGAAGAGCTTTTTACATACCCTGTACATGGTGGATCTGTGCTGTTCTCAAAACACAATGTCCCAGTCCCTTTGGGCTTTAAACTCCTCCTACAAAAGCAAAGGAAATATTTGAGCCACCAAAGCATTATATATACGTACCTGTGTACCCTGTATCTCTTGCTTCGAATTGTTATACGATGGTGGACTTCCGACGCGTTGGGCTCTAGAGCAGGCTGTGAAATTTCTAGACGCTCGTACTTCATAATGGCCAAATATCTATAGAGCAGAGAAGAGAAAACAAGAAACCAAATAAGTTAGCAGAAGACGTGACTCAGGCGCTCACCTATCAACATGAAAATTTTCGACACCGAGATCTTCGTCCCAGACAAAAATGTACTCATACGGATCAACAATATCAGGGTGCAAAAAGCGCTTAGCAAACCACCTGTAGGCAGCCCGTCAAATTGACTCTAGTGCTTTATCGATACGTACCACTTCGTTTGATTTATTGCTACAACATGGATGGCACGACTACTCCAAGGTAACTCGTTCCACTTGTCCACGACACCGTCATAGTGAAACAGCATGATTGTGAAGTTGTGAGCGAGAAACTGCAAAGTTACACGGGGTCAGGACAACATCAGCAAAACGCAATTGATCAACAACAACCTTCTGGACAATTCGGTCCACATAACGCTTCTGCTTTATGCCAGCCGCTACAGCGAGTAGCCCGTTGGGAACCTAAGAAAAGCTTGGCTATTGTTTGATCTTGGTCAACAACAGCACACACTACCTTCTTCCTGGAAACTCTTCCCAGCGGCTGGACCTCGAAGTTGGATGTTTGCTGGACAATTCCTCTCGGTAGTAAATCCTTTCCACCGCGCGGCCGATCCTCGCATGTTTCGAACAGTTCGGCCTGCCAAGCCAAGGATCAGAACATCCACAAGAGACACTCTAAAAGAATAAAAAAACCTGAATTTGAGGCTGTCCTATGACACCGACTCTTCTCCATTTCCAAAAGCTCTGCGAAACAAACAACCATAGCAAAAGAAAACTTGGAGAAAGAAGAAGAGATAGGAAGAACATACCCTTGGAAATGGATCGACGATAAAGTTGCTGAATATAAAGAGGGTGAACACGAGGAACGATAGCACCAAGAAAATGGACTTGGTTCTACACAATCGAAGGCGTGATTTCCCACACTCGTGCTGCATCTTCACGTCGGCCTAGCAACAAAGGCGTCACGTTAGATCGATCGACATTTCGTGCAGCAAGAAAAGAAGGGGAAAAGAAAGCAGAAAACACTACCAAGTCCTCGAAATCTCTATGCTGCGATGAGTAATTCTTTTCCATCTGAGCCTTGGGCGTGCTGCGCAGCTTGCCACCGCCGCTCCCTTTCATGGATTCCGACCAGCATTCCCTACCGCCGCTGCCACGCCCTTGCTCACGCTGCGATCGCGCACATTCCCTTGCTCCACCACTTCAAATTCGAGCTATCCGTTTGCTCGGCATTATCTGCCCTACATTCGCGGCCGCGAATTCCCCCAAGAAATCAGTGAATCCACCGATGCGCTGCTCGATCTAGCGCATCCCCACTCCCATTCTAGTACCCTAATCTACGCGCATCGCCGGCTTTGCGACACCAAAAGAAAGGCACTGGAGCTCTCCCGTCTTAAACGAAAACCATAACGAAAAGAACATAGAGCAAAGCGCCCAGCCTAGAGTTTCCCCAACACCCCGCGGTCGGGCCAAGAAATACCGGAGACTTATAAGCCGGGCGGACTGACCACTCTATAACCTCACACACGACGGGACCTTTTTCCTCCGCCGCGATAGAAACGTTTAGCGTTGTCAGCCGACCCGGTCTAAAAAATACCGTGAAAGTCGCTTTTACCTGACACAGCGGTGGAACACGTGGCGAGCGGCGGAAAACGCTGCTGACGGGATTCGAGCGCGAGACCTGGCGGGAAAGATTCTAGGGCTTATGGCGATGGCGATTATCATCCGGCTGCTCGGCATTACTTCCGCGCTGGCGATTGTTGCCGTGTGCCAGTTCCCAATCCCCCGCCGGTACGATGGATTCGCTTTCGGCAGCTATGGCGGCGTCCAGGAGCCGATTCTGGTGGAGGCCTTCTTCGATCCGCTGTGCCCCGATAGCAAGGATTCGTGGCCGGCGATCAAGCAGGTTGCGGAGGAGTATGGCTCGGAAGTGAAATTTATTGTCCATCCCTTCGCGCTACCGTAAGTGACACTCTTGGACTCTTGGACGGCAGAGAGATTCTCGTTTGTCTTGTTTCCAAGCATAGGTACCACCAGCAGTCGTTCCTTTCGGTGAGAGCGCTCCACATTGCGAATCATCTCAACGCGTCTCTCACGTACCCTTTGTTGGACTTGATCTTCGAGCACCAGGTTGGTTCTCTTATATTTATTTATTTTTTGTTCTTGTTCTTGATCTCTTTCGAATGTTTCGATGGTGACGAATTGATTAGGAAGAGTTTTCCAACGCGAACACTGCTGACAAAACAGCGTCGACGGTGATCGACGAGTTTTCCAGCCTGTTCGCGTCGCAGTTTGGCAGTGGCAACGAGGCGAAGAGCATTTTCAAGCAGGGATTCTATGACTCCTCCACTGATCAGGCGGGGCGCATCTCTTTCAAGGTAGACAAGAAGCTTTGATTGTCATGGCAAGAAAACTAAAGTCTTCGCGTACCTTGCACGCAGTATGGATGCTCGAGAGGCGTGACAGGCACACCGGTGTTTTTCGTCAATGGTGTCCCTCTCAGCAATGTAGATGCGAGCTGGGGAATCGACGAGTGGGCCAACATTCTCGATCCGCTGCTAGCAACTGGGCCTGGAATGAACGCATTTGGATGAACTAGCACGGTAAGATGTATTGAAGACTACCTTAGAAGATTGGCATATGGACTTCTCTATACTTTCCATCGGTCGAGCATATGGTTCCAGCCTTCTCAAGCTCGTATAGAAGATCCACAAGCTGCTTTTGATCGCAATCCGAGAAGAAGGCAGCAATCTCCAGAAGCGATGCCTGTAAAGAACGCTTGCTTATAGCCACGAATGTAAATCATTCTCGTTACCCCGTCTCTATCTCGAAGAAGATCCACGAGGCCTTGATCCAGTAACACCACCTTGCCTTGCGAAACTCTGAAGAACTCTTTCTTGATCTTCCGCGACTTTTGGAGCTCGGCCGACACAGCACGGAGTGTTTCGAGCTCGTTGGCGGAGTAGCCAGTCTCCGCAGCTGCCACCGCTCTTATATCGTCAAACGAGAAGCCGCGATCGAGCATAGTACTGCATAGCTGGAGCTGTTCTCTCGTCACCTGGAGAGAAAAAACTTGTGAGCGGCGGCACATCAAGAGCAAGAGATCTACCTTGGAGCAGGAACTTGAGATCTTATCGAGATAGGCGCCTGTTCTAATCTGGCGAGTCCTTGGCAAATACTTGGACACCTCGTTTGCGGCACTGAGATTGAGATTGACTTCTTTGCACAGCGCTATCCAGTCTACTGGCTTTCCACCATCAATCGCTGCCACAAGGTGGTCCACAACAATCCCTCTGGGAGACTTGATTTTCTCCTGCGAGAAGGAAAACGAACAGCAGTCCTTTCTTGCCACGCAAAAATCTCTACTCACAGCGATAGCATCCAGCGAGAGGCCACCGAATTGCCAGAATTTCCAGACTTCCTCTGAGCTAACGGTGATCGCCTGTTAGCCGCATTATCAAATCCCTTCAAGAAATCCTTCCTACACCCACCTGTTGAGAGCTTCTTCGTGCCAAAGCGACGTTTACACTGCGAGCGCAAGTGCTGCTAATGCTTACTCCGGAGAATCTCCCCGCGCCGGGCGGCCATGCCATTCTCCTGGCAATCATCGTCGCGGCAGCTCGGATCATCCCCCACCCCAAAACCCTAGCTCACAGTTTTTCAAATATCAATCTTCTAGATCAACGGCGGAATGTTCACTGAAATCGACGGCTGAGATTGCTCCCTGGTAAACCTAACAGAATTTTCTGCTGGCATTCCTTCTTGCTATGGCGGCGGGCGGCGGGCCTCGGGCCGGGAGGGCAAGAGAGCAGCTGTAGAAGAATTTAGGGCAGGGAGGTCCCATGAGAGGGCGCCGCGAGAATGCGTGAAACATGGTTCTAGGGCTGAAGAATGCCGCCGAAGAAGAAAGGGAAGAAGGGCAAGAAGGGAAAGAAGAAGAAGAAGGAGCCCAAGCACGACGCTGGCTGGCAAAAGGTATGGAAGCGATCTCCTTCCCTGGTAGAATCTCAGCTTTTGTTGCTTCGCCCAGGCTTTGATCAATGGAAAATGGGAGAGGCCTTTGGAAGCTCTTCCTGACCCTTTCCTCTGGCCGAGCTTTGGCGAGATCCGAGAGAAAATCCTCTTGAGTAGCCATCTGGTAAGAGCGAAAACATCGGTGCTTGATCGGTCCAATCCAACTTCATCCCGCAGATAAGCATTTTGTGGAGCGGATCTATTCACGACGATTTCATCCTAGAGCTTCTCAAAGTTCCTCGGCCAAACCTGGTGAGCATTCTCCTTGTGATCTTTGTCTTGTAGATTGTGCTCAAAGCTAAGAGAATCGTTTTTTCACCAGCCAGACTACGCTTGAACTGAGGGGCACCAAATACTTAACAAGATTTGTCATGTCCCCTCCATCAGTGTGCCCGGTGCTGGAAACTCTCGACCTCGCTTGTTGTCCCATCCTAGAGTACGTGCTCATCGAGGTAATGAAAGTCTTCTATCATTTATAGCTTTGGATCGATCAAACCTTCCGATCTCTTGGCAGTCGACGAGCCTGGAATTCGTGTCCTTCAAACGCTGCGTTTCTCTCAAAAAAGTCCTCTTGAACGCCAAGAAGCTCAAGCGAATCGATCTCCACGAGACCGGTCAGCTGGACTGCTTGATGTTATGGAGTGATGCCATCGAAGAGCTTCACTTCTTCTGCAAGGAGATGACCCAGCTCGAGCTCTACTGTCCAAAGCTCACAAGAGTGCAAAGACCATCAATCAAGGTACTCGGTGGATGTTTCTTGTTCTTCATCTCTTTTCTCTTTTGTTCTTTGTTTTTTCAGGTAATACCACCCTTGTATCCTGTTCATCCGTCAGTTCTAGACATAGTTCGGGTTGACAACGCTCCCAGAGCGAAGGAGTACAGCCATCCTTTTGTGATAGAGGAGTACAAACCTTACGCGAGGAGCCCTTTCATACCTCAGGCGATTTTGCTGTGAGGCTTCTTTTTTTTTTTTTTGTTCTTTCTTCCTACTTCGTGTTGCTGTGGATAGAAAAAAACCACTCTTGTTCATGCTTTGCTGTTTCCATTTTCCATTTCATGCTATAGATGCCCGCACTGGGATCTTAGCCTCTTCATACCAATCCATCACTTCATCAAGGCTACCATCAGCTATCAGCAGCAGCAATCATACAGCATTCAGACGAGCCGATCACAAGAACTAGCTGAGATCCTCTTCCGTCGCAATGAACCAGCATCTTTGGAGTACCTTCCATCAACCGGCGACTTCCAGATAACAGGCAACATCCCTCTTCATCAGCTCCAAACAATCAATAGCCGTCAGCAGAAGCTAAAACATCAACTTTGAGGCCATAATCATCGACACCAGTCACTCATCCATCATGGCTATCCATCACCATCTTCTTTGCCGCTTCCATCCGTCCATTCCCTCACCATCTCCACATTGCCGCGGTTACCATTACCCGGCAACACATCCTCATCCATTTCACTTCCTGTGTGGTGTGCTAGACTTCCACTGGACGGGACGGGGGACCGATTGTGTGCAAGAGCCACAGGATGGGCACCAGATCAAGAAGATGGGCCGAGCACTCTTTCTCCACACCCTTCTTGGTTAAGTGTTTCAACAGCAATAACCATTACAACTCTTTTATGGTTCACCTGGAAAGCTAAGTGGTACCGGTTTACATTTCAAGGTCCAAAAGTTTCACAGCTGCTACAAAGCTATAGTCCTTGCTTGATTGTCTTAAAATATCGTAAAAAAAATTGAATGACGCAGGATAACAGTCCTGGTGCTGTGATCAGGAGTATCTATCAAGCGTCTCCACGGGCCATGCCTCGTTCATCCACAACTCCAGTAAGAAATTCTTGATTTTTAGTAATAAAATCTTGTCCTGAATCATCACATACATCAAACGACAAGGACAGATTAGAATATTTTAGAATATTCTACATTTATCCATTTAGATTAATTTTGTGTATCTTGGGTAAGCAAGGTCGGGAAGCTTTAACTCTTTCCTGGAAGACGTTCTGTGGCACAATCACTTCCTCTCGCGACAAGCCTTATGTGACAAACCTGCATGGTCGCGAAGCCAAAAGTGGAAGTTTTCAGGGTGTGGTGATCCTTGCAATAGTTGCCTCAAAACGATTGCTCGTGGCTGAAGCAGAGAAAGAAAAGAGGTAAAAAGAAAAAACACCAAATACTCATGTCCAGCTCCATGTGTCTATTGCGCTCTTGGGAACGCAAATGGTAACTAAGCCGTTCGAGAGAGACGCTCTCACCTGCTTCATGTCAGCACTGGAGGGAAGCTTAAACTTTGTTTGTTGGAAGTTGGCGGTGGTCTTAAAGTTCCCGGCCCTGTATTGTCCACATTCACTTCCTCTCGTGACAAGCCTGATATTGAGAAAACGTGAAAGTTTTCAGGGACATACCTGGAACTTCTGACACAAAGAATGTGGTGATGCTTGTCATCTACAATAGTTGCCTTGGGACATTTGCTCGTGGCTGCAGCAGAAAAGGAAAGGAAATTAGCTCGTGAGTGCTGGGAACAGTAATGCAGTATCATCCTCTTGGGCATCACGGGAGGAGCTATATATTAACTATATATATATTTTTTTTTTATATTATCTCGTGGAGGAGCTAGATATTAACTTTTAGTAGAAATAATTTTTAGTAAAACTAATATAGCCATTTAATAAAACTATAAGTTGAAATAGCATTACTATCATAAATTAGTAGTGAATTTGTTTAATGCTCAGTCTCATTGCTATCCCATCATTCGTAAGACCACAACAATCAATATGTATTTAAGTAAGGATTCTTGATCACATGACGTGAACAATTAGATTATAATTCATTATAAATCATCTATTGGAGATACTCTTGGTCCCTCTAGTCTTCAGTCTTCAGAATCTTGAGGATAGTTTGCTAAAGCTTGAGCAAATTCCTCGTAGCATTATGCAATTGTTTTTTTTGTTGATGTTTTTTTCACAAAATCAAATTTTTATATCACAAGAAAGAAAAATATTTTTGATACATTATTTAGCACAAAAGACATCTAAATAAAGAAAAGCCTTTAGCAAAAGGGGTCTTAGATCATTAAAACTTTTTCTTCTTTTAGAAAATATACTAAAAAGGATATTAAAGAGAATTTAGCTAAATGGAAAGTAATGTTGAAGAACGAAATTAAAATGTTTTTTATGTTAACTCTTTGAGATTATATAGAAGATATATTATACTACATTTGAAAAAAAAATAGTAACATTACTATACACTAAATATAAATTAAAGATGTTTAAACTTCCATGTATTTTTTTCTACCATCACTTGTATATTTTTGTCAATTATCCCAACAAGGCTTGTGGTCTTTAACTTTTTATATATGCATTTTCTTTTGTGAATTTTTGAGTGTTACAAATTTTTCTTTTTCAAGATTCCTAGTAGATTATAATCATGTTTTTTTAATTCCATTTTCTTAATTATAGAAACTTTTTTCAAGAGTGTGTAAAAAATCCTTATAAAAATAATATCATAACCTAAAATATATTTATATTAAAATATAATTATTACATATTGAATCCCTTTCCTTATTTGTTTTAATTTGGTTATGTGATGTCAATGACTTATTCAATTAGCTAAAATACAAAAAACAAAAGTGTGAAATATTTGTTATCACAAAAGTAAGTGTAGCAAAGGTCTATTATTTATTTATAGCAAATAAAATATTTTTAAAAATTTTATATTAAAAATCACTAATATTTTAATCCTTTATATAATTTTAAAATAGATATTTAAGTAGTGAAGTTTATAATGTGAAATGTGTTTATATATAAGCTTATAACACAATTTAAAAATATTTTTAGGCATTTTATAAATAATTTTAATATTATCATTTATCATCATTAACTCTCCATTTAAAATTTTGCTATTTTATAATTATTAATAAATGATTTTATTCCTGTTTGTTTCCTTTAAATATTCTAGGTTTTCTTTTGGGTTGTGTGCAAGGAAAATGGCTGTGGGCTTTCAAAACCAAGGGAATTCTTGTTCAGCCAACAGTGCTTTACAGTGCGTTGCTCACACGCCGGAGCTCTCTAGCTTCTTCTTGAAATCAGACAGCGTAAGAGGTGAGATAGCAATCGAGTTTAGGAAAGTGGTGAGGGTGATTTGGAATAACGCAAGCAAGTCTGTAAAACCAGGGCCAAAGCTGACAAATCCGAGCGTCCAGCCCGACGCACAGGAGTATCTCGATTTTCTTTTGGGTGCCCTGGATCAAGAATTCAAGAAGCAAGAGAATCCTCCTAAAGGACAAAAGGTGCGACCAGAGCTCCCCTCTCCAGTCGCAGATTTCTTCGAGGGCCAAACCAAATCCACAGTGAAATGCCCGAAGTGCTCCAACATGGTCTCCTCCACGCCTGACTCTTTCACCTCTCTCTCGCTGCCAGTCCATGAGACGGCGCAGCCGGTTTCTCTGGAATCATGCATCCGGGAGTACACCAAAGACGATGTTTTGGATTCCTGGCACTGCCCAAAGTGCAAGAGAAACCAAAAGGACGCTGTCAAGAAACTGGAGCTTGGGAAGCTCCCACGGAATTTGATCCTCCATTTGGCAAGGTTTAAGTGCGATTCTTCGGGGAGTGTGGAGAAGATCGACACCACGGTGGAGTTTCCACAGATTTTGACACTTTGGGAACAGGAGTACAAACTGTATGGATTGATTAACCATATGGGGGACTCCGACTATGGGCACTACACGGCGACCATCAAACTTCCAAATGGAAAGTGGTACAGCTTTGACGATGAGGTGGTGGAAGAGATTTTTGAGCTATCGAGGTGCTCGAGCGATGCATACATTTTGTTCTATCACAAAACAAGTGTGTGAGAATTACAGTACATATTTACACGATATCTTGGCTTGCGTCTTCTTGTCGCGCTGCTCTTGTTCTACAGCTCCAACATTCCAGGAGGAGAGCATTCACGATCATGGACAATCCGAATCCCGCAAAACCGGCCAGCGAAATCGACAAGATTGGGTTCAACTTCATCTGGATCATGGATTGAAATAAGAGCTAAAAAAGTTTTAAGAGAGTGATCTTACCCAACTGTAGAAAACATGCGCAAATAGTATGACAAAACCGACCTGAAAGATGGCAAAGAGCCACATACAACGCCGCCTCACTGTGCGTCGAAAGAATCTATTCTTACAAACAGGAGCTCGAGAGAAAGAGAGAGAAACGAAATCTTACCAAGCGTTGATGCTGTGATGGCAGTGAGCATTCCAAACATGAAGAGCTAGCATCAATGCTCGAGGGCCCTTTCGTCTCACCTGTAGTAGGCAACAAAGAAATCCATCCAAGAACTTCGCAAATCAATCGAAATCATCAGAGAATTATCACCAGTAGCTGCTCGAGGAGGCAAAAGTACGTGAGCATGCTGATCATGACGAGCACGGGAACGTCATGCCAAATCCTGGAAGAACACCATGGAATCTACAAAACTATAGAGTGAGATAGACGAATCTACCTGTTGAGAGCACTCATTTACGCCATTTGAGCTTGCTGGAGAACTTGAGTTTCAGCGTTGGTATTGTTTTGGTTTTGCTGGAGCCTGACGAGCGTGACGGGGAGATTGACGACCTCCTGGCCACAAACATCGCACTCGCGGTTGCCTCGAATCCCAAACCACTTGAGAGCGCACTCCTCGTGAGCCAGCGCCAGCTCCCCTTTGCAGCTACACTCGAGCTTGAGCGTCTTGCCCTCCTCGCCCAGATCGCACAGGCAAATGCGGCACACTGCTTCCTCCTCGGGGATCTCCTCGTCCTCGCCGTCTAAAAGTTTTGAAACTTTCAGATCATGGAACCATGGTCTCCATGAACTTGATCATAGGAAGCTTACGTACCTTGGGTGTCGTTGGCATGGTCAGTGTCTTGGGCTCCATTGTCTGCTTGTGAAGTTTCCCGGGGACGAGGACGAGGAGTGGTCGGCTTGACGAGAAACGTTCCGGAGTAAAGCCGGGTGAGCTTCTTCTCCTTTTGGTGACCATCGAGCGCCGACTTGGAGCGTTTGATCTGCTTGCCCTGCGAAGACGAGATGACAAAGTTGACGATGAAAGAAAGAAAGAAAAGTTCTACCTTTGATGACGAGATCAAATTTTCTCTAATGGCATCTGGACTCACTGCCGCGGCCCCTGTCGACGAAGAAGACGACGGAGACGCGGACGAAGAAGACGATAGCGTGAATCGCAATGGAAGAGACACTGTTCTTGCGGAGCGGGGCGTGAGGAGCCGCATGAGCGAGAAGTTTGATCGGGGCGTTGCTGCTCCTGGGGTGTTGGAGATGGATGGCGGTGGCGGCGGCTGCGGCGGAAGAGCATTGACGCAGGAGTCAGCGAAGCTATCACCTGAGAGAGATAAACAAGCCAACCTTGTGACAAGTAGATATAAAACCACGGGAACGGCCGTAAAGCCTCGTTGGAGAGCGGCAAAATTGAGAAGCGATGGTGCCAAGTGACCAGCCATTTTGTCAAGGCTGCAAAGACAATGGAGCTGAGAAGCCATAAATGAATCTCGAAAAAACGAACCTGTTACTTATGCTCAGTAACGCTGCAACACCCAGCATGAGAAGCGTCCCCTCTTCCCTTTTGCAAACTTTAGAACAGGAAAAGCGAAAAAAAAAGAGAGAAAATCTTTACCATTGAATCTGTGGCCACCAGGAAGAATTCCCTCCAGGAATCGCCACCGAAGGGGAGTTCTTCTCACTGAGATCCAACACGACACCATCGCCATCGGTGGAAAACTTTGGGACCTTGTCACAAGCCTTGGACGAGTTCCAAGGAAGCAAAGGAAGAACCGAGACAATCTTGCCCGGGGGCTCGTCGGATTTCTTCACCTCCACCTCCGCCGGGTGATCCAGCGCGAGGAAGTAGCCGCCGAGAGTGACCACCACGATTCCCATGAGCCCCTGCGAGCTCGGGAGCTCGTTGATGATCACATAGCTCGTAAAAACCAGAAGAACTGGAGTGAAAGCTAGATAAGGAACAGTGACCGAGAGAGGGGAGACGTGGAGAGCACGCTGGTACATGAACCCCACCAGAGCCTTGATCGCCGCGGTGACGAGGAGCGCGGCGACGTACTCGGTGTCCAGCCGCGTCAAAGAGAAGAGATCGAAGCCGCCGGAGAGGAGCGCCATGGAGGAGAGGAGCAGCGCGTCCAGGAGAGCCACCAGAGCTACGAGCTCGCGGTCCGAGAAGCGCTGGGACGCCCATTTCCTGCTGGCATCGATGCAGCTGTGGCCGATCGCGGCGCCCGCGGCGTACGCGAATCCTGCCCAGATCATTTCTCTGCTCTTCTCCGGAGCGAGCGATCGATCGATCGATCGATCGATCGATCGCTAGGACGATCGCTGCATTGTCGGCGAGGGCGCGATTGGTGCCACCAGAATACCTGCTCGGTTGACAATCACAGCATCGCGGCTCCTCTGCCTCCGGGGACGACCTTATGGAGACCTAATTCGCCCTAATTTCTTTTTTTCTTTCTTTCACAAGGGATGGGTGAGTCTTTTTTCATGAAAAACTCTTCACCTAATAACAAATAATGTAATGAACTTGTTCCAAAAACAAAATTACTTCTATTCACTAATGCTTTTCATTTATCATCCATTTTTTGCTGATCGATCAGCATTTAAGAGTTTGGGCACCTCCAAAACCAATGTGATTTGTGGTGAATGTGAGATTGTCTTGATTTCGAATTTTACGTACTTCGTCCTTCCATACAAGCATTGCCTCCTCCTTTGCTGTCATAGATGCTTCCTCAATTTCCCGCTCCAACTCCATGGCGAAATCATTCTCCTCATCTACTACTGGGATGGGAAATTCTTCCTCCATTTGCCGCACCAGCTCCATGGCAAAATTGTTTTGCTCCTCGCCCAAATCGAATCGGGTGCCCTGGCCCTGTTGGTCGCTGAACTCCCCGCTGAACTCCTCAAGACCCAGTAGTAAATCTAGATCATCACCATCATCGACATTGAAATCCTTGAGAAAGTTCTTCTCCTCGTCCTCCACAGAAGGACCCTTGTCCTCCAAATCCATTTTACACCACAATTTCTCAACCTCCTGGAAGATCTCCTCGTCTTGCACGTATCCCTCGAGGTCACAGGCGTTGACTGGCAACGACTGATCCCGGACCATGAGTTGACTAGGGCATTGACCTGTAGTGCTTGGTGATGGCCTCGCCGTTCTCCTCGAAGCTCCGCGACTTGCCCTGTGCGGGGATGCACAACCGCGACTCCCACTGGTTGCGGCCGATGGAATCATTGACGAAGGCAACATCTTGCGAGGAAGACACTGCCCCCTTGACTTGTTCTGCTGCTGCTCCTTCTTGGGTCTCTTCCTTGGACGACCGCCATCTTCTTTCTTGGCTCGTTTCGCTCGTATTGTGCCACCCAGGGTGAAGTGCCGTTTGCACACCGTGCACTTGTAGCGCGGCTGGATCAGCATGTGGTTTTCGAAATAGTCAAACTTGGTGACTGCCGAGCTATCGCAGCCGTGTGGGCAGAGCGGGTGCTGCTGTCGCAAGAAGGCCATGAGCTCCCCCACGCTCCCAAACGTAACAAAAGCCTGCTGTGATGTCTGTGAACCAAAAACTGGGTAGTTTTGGAGATGGTGGATGTCCTTGACTAGCACGTTTCTCATTTCTCTCATTCTTACTGACTACCAAATAATCTAGGTATGCTGTTAAGGGCGATGAAAATATACTTTACATTCAAACAAATATTCTGATACAGTATCAGAATATTTGTTGGAATGTAAAGTATATTTTATGAGTAAAATCTGCGCAAGACCTCATGGCAATGCACAATCCATGAGGCATCCTGTTTTAACTTAAACTTCTGTGAAAAGCTTTTTAAGGCTTTAGTATGGAAGAGACTTTAGACCACTTAATCCCACAACAAGATTATCGTCTGGATCAGATTTCCTGCTGAACCATACAGAGTTTACAACAAGGGCAAAATCTATTTTGTTTTTGTCGCGGGCTAGCACAAACTCGTGCTGGGCGGAGCAGCAGGAGCAAGCTGGTTGTGGCGAAATTAAGCTTAAACCAAAAGAGGTGGATTCCTGAGAGATGAGGAGAGGTGAAACTTTCAGTGACTGGTACTTTTTTCTTGTGAGTAGCAAGAGGCGACCTTTTCGTCTGGTTTAAACCAAAACTAATCTATTGTTTATTCAAACCTTTATGGAGGTAAGACTCTTTAATATTTTAGAAACTTTTCACCCTGATAACTTTAGTTTTGGACTCAACTTTGACTAACCTCAAAGCTATGTTTTCATTGCCTTCAGTTTAGCCTAAAAAAAAGTTCATAAGAGAGAATGATAATGACTATTTGAACCAATATATTAATTTTTATAGTCTCCAGCAAAAATCATGCCTAAGAAAGATCCACTAGTGCCATGCTAAATAGTTAGATATTTTCTATTTATAGTAATCTTAGAGGAGGTTTATTTTATTGGCAGTAATATAGTAATAACTTATGGTAACCACCAATATGCTAATATCAACTCAATGTGTAATTTTAAATTGCTAATATGACTCACTCAAGACCTCAAGTATAAACTTGTATAAATAGTACATATCAAATTCCATCTAATGAGCCCAAGTGAAAGCCATATAATATGGTACAAGATGATATGAATTGATATAACATAACACATATCTAAGAACATTTGTGAAGCTATAGCAACCAAATGTGTATCCATTTAGATAATTATTTTCATCTCCACAAATGTAATGATATTAGTTGCCAAATCTTGTTAATAGTACTTGTTGAGACTGATATTTTCATACCAAATATAGCACACATGATTTTGACTTTATAATGAATTATTAGGATAACTATAAAGTGAAACATAACCCTTTGGACATAACAACTTTAACATATGTGGTTTTGACTATACCATATAATGAGTTACAACAATGAAACAGAAATTAACCCTTAGACACATGTACAAGGGTAATGTAAAATTTAAATTTCAAAGCCTTAAACCACTAAATGAAGGGACAGAATCAAATTCCTTAGTGTATGATGAAGGTTAAAAGTATAAAGAAATACATAAAATAATTTTAGTGTAAAATATAAATCCCTAAGTCCCAAATGGATTTAAAGGCATAATACATGAAATAAAAAGCACTCAAAGAAAAAGCATGAAGCAATCAATAAATAAATCTCAAAAAGGATATAAAAATGATTGAGTATTGTAATATATAACAAGTGTCATGAGATATATGAAAGTGTTGAAACCAAACCCCTAAAGCCCAAAAATTTGAAATGGAACAATGTTAAAGCATCTTAGACCACTAAGAAACCAAGTGTTAAACATATCTAAAGCCAAATATATCTAGGGCTATATATATACATAAAGGGTTTAGTAAATCCTTATAAAATAGGACTCTAAAGGGATTAATGTGACAAAAACAAGTTATACCCATGTAATGATAATATAAACATTGGGAATCTAAAGCTAGAGTAAATATAAATATTAAGTGGGATAACTTGGTGAAATGTTTAAAGACCAACTCTAGCTCATTTAAAAGATTAAATAATCAATACTCCTAATCTAAATGTGCATGGCATTACTTATTTGATACTTTATATGGCTCATTAGAGCTTTTCTAGCTATATAGCTAAGGTACCCTACTCATTAAATGTGGTAGGAGAAGTTGCAAAATACCACTTTAAAGTCCTTGACTATTGAAAGGAAAAAAATGGTCATTTTAGTTAGTAATTAAGGGTATAGTTATGGTCAATAGGATTTAGTGGATAGCTATTTAGGCCTTGACATAGTGGCAATATTAGCAAGTACTACTATACTTAGTAAAGAAAATTCCTTTATACTTTAAAGGATCCTAAGGACTAATGGTCGAGAAGTATTGGAGGATAATATTCCCCTATACTTTGAAGGATTCATGATATGGCCATTCATGAAATGGATGGTCAAGGGACAGGTTTGCGATAATAGTGGTTTTGTATTGGTAATGAGCTAATAATAATGAACTTTACTTTGAGTATATTAGTGGTATTTTTGGGTGTCTAAAATGGGATTTAAATATAAAGAGCACTTAGACAAAATACAAAGTCACTATGGCTTCAAAACCATTTTTGGGGTGATAGCAAATGCCCTAAGTAAAGATTTAGTGAGTGATAGTTAAAGATATGGTTAAATGACTAAAAAAGAATGAAAAATTTAGTCATTTACATTTAAAGTATTTAAAATATTAACACAAAAACTAATATAAAATATATATATTATTTAGCATACTAGTGGCCTAACACTAGAATATGAGTACACCAATTAATATAGTATGAAGATTATATTGTAATTATGAACAAAAGAGAGAGAAAAAGAGAAAATCTTCATTATATAATTTCACACTCAAGAGAGTCTTTAGTGTGAGTGGAGTCATATTGAGGCTAATGCAAGATTGGTGCAAGTTTCCAATCAAAGTTCCCTCTTGTTTCAAGGTTTTTAGATCTCAAATGTCTTCTTTCCAATAAGTGTAAACACTTATGATTTAGTGCAAAAATGACCAAGATTTTTTCATTTTTCTCTCAATGATTGTTTCTCTAAGCTGGAGTTCTCAGAGTTGAGCTGCTTAGAGTCATAACATGCAAGTAACATGTGCATCACAATCCAATATGGATTCTTTGACAACTGATTCTTTGAGCATATGCTAGTTTGTTCCTTATTATGTGTGTTTTGCCCCCAACTTTTGTTTGATGTATGTTATTGCCATTTTCATGTCTATCTGAGTCTCATGAAAACTATTTTTCTCATAATAGCGCAAATTGCCAAGCTATCAAAAGCTTTCATCAAATCTGTTATGTTGAGCTTATAGAACTCACCCTCTTTTGTGTGAGTCTCAATATGCCATAATTTGATTGCATATTCCATGAGCTAGTTTGTTCTCTTAAAACTTGTATTTCCTGAGCATGAGTGAGTTCTCTTAGCCCAATTCATTTCTTTTGACTATCTTTATTGCATCATCTCTGCATAAACATCTCCTTGGCCATCATTTGAGCCACATCTTAGGTAAATCAAGACGTGCTCTTTGCAAATTAAGCCTTCATCCTCTCTTTGGGGATCTTTCTCACTCCTTTCATGCTAAATGTGGTTTCAATAGCTAGGAACTATTTAGTTTTATTGCTAGTTGATCTTTGTGATCAGTCAAACACTGAGGGATACACTTGGTGAGCACTAGTTTCATCACCAATCTCAATAGATACCATAGTACCCTGATATTTGAGATGGCAAATCCAATTTATATTTTGCAAAGAGGTGTTGATCTTCCTTTCTTCACACCCAAGGCTTCTTCAGCATAGAATCACATCACAGAGTTCAAGGTATTTTGCAACTCAAACAATCATGCCAGAGGCCCACAAGTGGGATCATCTTCTTCGCTCAATGCAAGGCCAAACTTGGCTTTGAGAGAGTCTCTCTTGGACACAAAGAAGGAAAGATATGCAAAGGTTAAATAGCTTTCTCAAGACTCTTGGACAGAAAAAGGATCTCCAATAACTTTATACTGAGTTCTTCTCCTTCCAGCAAATGCCACATGAGTCTATGATGGAGTATATTTGGCAGCATTGGAAGCTCTGCCTCATATAAATCTCCAACCTCACAAAGCAGACCATTTTATCCAGGGACTAAAGTTGCTTTCAAAAGAAAGCACACTGAATGCCTTATTGCATTTGCCTATGTAGAGGATGTTGAGAAGGAGTTCTACCTCACTCTCAGTGTCTCTCAAGTTGCCCAAGCACCACCCAATCATCTCATGGAGCACACAGTCACAACAGCAATTTGCCAACCAACCCCAAAACCTGTTGAGGACAAAATGCCACTCATACTTGAATCTGCAATCACACAATGACCTGCTGAAGTACCAGATCTTAAAACAGCAGCAGAAACAGACTGCCATCTTGGAGGAGCTTAAGGCAATGTGGCTCCAACAACATCAAGTTAATGGTGCACATGTTGCAAGGCAAATATGCATTTGATTGAATGATGCTACTGCTTTCAACCCAAGCTTCAATCTCCTAGGACTCAACGTGTCCAAGATCATTCTTTTGCTGACAACTCCACACTTTGGCTATCTCAAGATGGGTACCATTAGCAGTTCCAACAGCTCGCAATCAAGGCACCTCCATCCACGACCAAAGGCATAGAACCAATGCAACACATCAACACTATCAATAAGGAAGCACTCACACTTATAACTCAAGCTTAGAGGAAGTGCCAACCAACAGCCCCAGACATCAATGGAGAGCACAACTCAATTGCTCCAGAAGGTCCAAGCCCAATCATGGCATGCCTTCAAATTGGGATTTGCTGGATCACATTTAGTTGAAGCTGATTCTTCTAAAAAATTCATGTGATCTTCTCCAGGTTTGACTCCATCGCCATTGTGTCCTCTCCCAGATGACATTATGCAACAGCTCCTATTCAGCTCAGTGCAACTTTCTCTTGCCAACTTTTGAGATTGATCCCAGGCTTCAGACGGCAGTTGGAGACTATTGCTCCATCCTTTGATTCATGCTGGCCAGGAGATACATATCATGGATACCATAGCATCCCCAGGAGCTTTTGTGGCATCTATCACTTTGTGAGATGTTGTCACAGTTGAGGCACTTTGGACTCTAGATCTGGGAACAACAAGATCTCTTTGGCATTGGCAAAGTCTATTGGGCTCCAGATCCAGGACAACACATCTATCATCCTCAAGACTTTTGCATATCATACAGTGATCCCGACCACCAAGTGTCAATCATGGTTCAAAGGTTCAAGGGATCTCATCTAACGTGGATGTCAAGCCTTTCCTCAAGGACTTGTGACTCTAGGACACCTTCAAGCAAATGCTTAGATGTGGGATGATGCGAATCAGCGACAACATCAACAATGCAAAGCTCTACAATGTCCATGGCCGTCGTTTGATGGAGGGGAAGGTTCTTGCTCCAAGATCAGAGGTTCTTAATCCAACATCCACAGTTCCTCCTCCTACTCCACCACCAGTACCTGCTCCTCCAGTTATTGTTTCAACTCCAGCTCAGCCTCGCGCTGTTTTTCCAGTGGAGTTATAGCCGTCATCCTCCCTGAGCTCCCATCACTTGAGGAAATGGAGGTATTCAGCATCCATGCTTTTATATATCCAGCATTGCTTCGGAGGCATCCACCAACATTTGCTCCAGTTCTATACTGCTCACAGTCAACGCAAGATTCAACCAAGATTCTCGAGATTTACAAAAATGCCCGAGGTGACAGAACTCGACTGGATGGCTTTACCATGGCTCTTCCTTTAGTCAGAGAAGCAGCCAAGCAGCTGTTCATCACTTATCACCAATGTCAACAACACTCTGAGCAGGTGGCAACTTATGCCAACTTCCTTTGAGGGCCAGGATTCATGGGAGTTCACAGCCCTCTCAACAGCTGCAGATGAGGAGCTTGGTACCATAGATGGCGCGACAAAATCGAGTTATGACATGCCAGATGCAAGTGACAACACAATCGACGATCCAGAAGCTGTGACTGCGACTTTCAGTGATTAAGAGGCTTTGGATACCACAGAGACATCAGCCTCAACACTTGTGGCACACACTTCTCCAGCTGAACAGCTTGAACAAGACATCTGCCTTACAGTGGCATTTGTCGCAGCCGTGGAGATTCCAACTTTCCAGAATCCTTTATCTGAACTTTATATCCATCATCAAATTTGTACTAACTTTGCCTTTCCAGGATACACATTGCATGGTGGCAATACAACTCTAGCATCTTCGCACGACTTCAGCCACACTTGGGAGTCTTTGCACGGCTGTTTTGACACTCAGGGGAGCATTCTTCAGACCCGGCCAGCTCTTCATCACCCTGGAATCAGTCGTCAACCACCTCGACTTGGCATCACCCGGCCTCATCACTCCAGGCTTCTTCCACTTTCAGCTCCAGTTTTCAGCACACACCTCTTCAACATGGAGCCTCCAGGAACACCATTCCGGCCACAAACGTCAAGCATGATCACAGCTGCAGAGCACATTCGAGTTCACGCCATCTTTCCCAGGCATCGACACTTTGTTTGTCCACCAGATCATCTACAGGACGTCTTTCCCTGCCCTTAAAGTCATCAACTGGGACAACTACTCCTCACAAGACTCAGCAATATCCAGCGAGATCCAGCTCTGCAGTTTCCCGAGGCGAATGCCCACCAACATCAACCAGGCCCGGAAACTTCTGCAGATCCATCCCCGGCCTACTCCAGGACGCACTTCGACCTCCTGGACTCATCACATCAGGCTCAAGCAGCTACCTTCACCACCATCTTTGAGTGGCGAGGTCTTTCTCTCTTCTCTTTTCAGTTTTCTTTTGGTTTTTCTTTCTTCTCTTGATTTCACTCTTTTTCTCTTCCATTCCAGGACATACTTCCTCATGACAACAAGTTCCAGCTTGGGCTTTAGTCACGAGGTGGCGTCAACTCTGATCGTATGGGAGCTCATTCATTCCTCACTTCACTTCATTCCATTCACATCCTTCTCCATTCATATCACATCAGACTCACACAAATCACCCAAGAAGTTCTCAGTGGATGTTTAAGTACACCTTTAGCTCGAAAGCAACTCGCCATAGCTCGCAAGATCGCCAATCTGGACGGAAGAGCAAAAGCACAAGGAGCAGGAATCGTTACGTACAGACCGTCTTGGCTGTGTTGCCGGCATCAGTTCTACCAGAGTCGGGCATCTTCCTCTTCTTCCCTCCACATACACAGCCAGCGTTTTCGAAAATTTGGAGCTGGATAGGCGAGAAAAAAAGGAGTTAGATTCATGAAATGCAAAGTCACAAACCTGTAGCATGAAGTTGTCATTCGGAGAGACTTGGGGGCTACATTCCCGGAGAGATGCTAATGCCTCTGCCATAATAAAAGAGAGAACATAATAAATAGATATCTCTGGTCACAAGCATACCATCTCGTAGCAAATTCTCCTTTCGCATCAAGTATGCTGTGATCACCGCTGCACTGCAATGAAAAACACTATAAGCATCAAGAGCACAAGAAAAAGAAGAACAGAGTTTGGATCCAAACCTCCGAGAGATTCCAGCGCCACAATGCACCAGGACGATCCCATCCTCCCTCCCCTTCTCAACAAAATCCAGGCACTCTCCCAAGCAAGCGAGCAAGTCCTCCTCCATAGTGTCCTCCAAAAGAAAAACCTTTCTCACTGGCTTTGCCACCGCCGCGTCCTTGCATTTCGCCAGGAGCTCCCGAGCGACGTCCCGGAAGGCCTCGTCGTCGGGCTTGGGCTTGGAGGAATCGAGAAGTGCCTGCTGGAGCTTGCTCAACTTCGGATGATCGCGATTTCTCCGTCTCTCCTTCTTGAGAAGGCGAATGTCACGCACCTTTTCGAGCGACAAGATGTGCGTCACTCCGCGCTTCTCTCCACACAAGAACATCTCCGCGTCCTCGGCGCTGCCGATGTAGAGGCCATCGCGCACCTTCTTCATTCATCCGCTAGAACCCTAGAAATCAAATAAGGAGGGTTCTTATATGAAAAGGGGGGAGAAGCTAGTGGCCGTCCGATCTTAAAACCCCCACGAACAAAATCCTCGAGCCCTAACCCTAGCCCTAGCAGCGGCCGCCATGGTAGCCTACTCGAGGGAGCCGGAGAATGCAGTGAAGGGTGAGTGAAATTCGCAAGCGCTCTCGTTGACCTCTGCTTGGATTGATCGCAGCTTGCAAGGCGAGAGGCTCCGATCTCCGGGTCCACTTCAAGGTGTGTGTGATTGATTGATTGATCGATCCTTGTGTTCTTGGGCTGAAAGATCTGGGCTTTCTTCGTGTCGCAGAACACCCGCGAGACCGCGCAGGCCATCAAGAAGCTCGAGCTCAGCAAGGCCAAGCGCTATCTGGAGGATGTGATCGCCCACAAGCAGGCGATTCCATTCCGGCGCTTCTGCGGAGGAGTGGGGCGCACTGCCCAGGCGAAATCCCGTCACTCCAATGGCCAGGGGCGCTGGCCAGTGAAGTCCGCGCGATTCCTCCTGGCGCTACTAAAGAATGCCGAGAGCAACGCTGAGGTAAAAATCCCATCTTTCTTCAGTGAATCACGGTGATTCTTTCAGGTGAAAGGCTTGGACGCGGATACCCTGTATGTCTCGCACATCCAAGTCAACCAGGCACAGAAGCAGCGCCGGAGGACTTACCGAGCTCATGGCCGGATCAATCGTAAGTGGTGAAGTTCTTCCTCGTTGATCTAGAAGCTGACTGCGGTGGCTTTGTGCTTGGCAGCCTACATGTCCTCTCCTTGCCACATCGAAGTGATCCTCTCAGAGCACATCGCTCCAGTCAAGGTGACACTACTCGAAACCTCTCGAGCTTTTCTTTGTAGCGTTCTAACTTTTGGTGTGTGGAACCATGGCAGGCTGAGCCGGAAGCCAAGCCCAGGAAGCCAAAGAAAGGCCCGGCTCGTTTGAGGAGCGGCCCATCGACGTAAAAGTCTTGTTTTTGTAGACCCGATATTTCCCGGATCTTGATTCAATCAACTTGGAAGTAAAGTTTTCGTATCGCTCATCCTCGGAGATCTTTGAGACTTGGCAAAGGATCCATCGGTGTAGAGGCTGGAGAGCAGCACGTAGGCCTGGGTCGCGCCATCGCCGCAGCTCAGGAGCTTCCTGGCAGCGCTCTCGCCATGGCGAAGGCTCTCGTGTCCCCGACTAGCGCCTAGCAGCGACGTCCACTCCAAGATGTCTGGAACAAAAGGCATGCTCGCGATGAGATCTCTGGCTTGATCCAGGTACCCGGCTCGTCCCAGGAGATCCACCATGCAGCAGTAGTGCTGCTTGCCTGGTTGGAGCCCGTGATCCAAGCCCATGGACACGAAATGCGATCGCCCATCGTAGAGCTTCCCCTTTCTGCTACAAGCGACGAGGATCGAGAGGTAGCACGTCTCGTCGGGTGATTCCAGGGTGCCCATCTCGTAGAACACGGCGCACGCCTCGGCGAAGTGCTCGCCGCCCTGGGCCGAATAGGCCCCCAGCATCGCGCTCCAGGAGATGATCCCGCGCTCCGGCATCCTAGCGAAGAGCAGCGCCGCGTGGTCCAGGCGCCCGCTCTGGGCAAATGCGGTGATCATCGCGTTTCTCGTCACGGTGTCGCGCTCCGGCATGAAATGGAAGGTTTCCTCCGCGCAGTCGATTCGCCGGCACTGTGCGTATGCGACTAGCATCGTGCTCCATGACACAACATCGCGCTGTGGCATGGAATCGAAGATGTTCTTGCTCGGCTCCATATGCCCGTTTTGGGCATATGCTGCGAGCATGGCATTCCAGGTCACTAGGTTTTGCTGGGACATTTGATCGAACACCGTCTTGGCCTGCTCTACATGACCGGCCTGGGAGTACGCAGTGAGCATTGCCGTAGAGGAGACGAGATCTATCAGTGGCATTCTTGAGAGGGTACGCTTCGCCTCGTCCAGATCCCCGGTCTGGGCATATCCCGAAAGGATGCAGTTAAACGACACGAGATCGCGCTGCGGCATCGCGTCGAAGATCTGCCTCGATTCTGCAATGCGCCCGCGCTGAGCGTAGGCGGCCAGCATCGCAGTAAATGCAACGAGGTTCCGCTCAGGCATCTGATCGAACAAGGTCCTGGCCTGCTCGACCTCGCCTTGCCGGGCGAGTCCTGCCAGCATCGCCGTGAAAGACACCACATTCCTCTCGGGCATTTCGGAGAAGACTCTCTTCGCTTCCTCGAGCCGGCCTGCTTGGGCATTTGCAGAGAGGATCGCAGTCCAAGACACAAGATTTCTCTCTGGCATGCGATCGAAGAAAGCTTTGGCTTGCTCGAATTTTCCCTGCTGGGCGAATCCAGCGACCATGGCCGTCCAGGACACGACATGGCGCTGCGGTACTTGCTCAAACAATCTCTCGGCCTTATCCAGATGCCCACTTTGGGCATATGCTGCAAGCATGGCATTCCACGAAACCATGCTCCGTTCGGGCATACCTTCGAAGATCTCCTCGGCTCTCTCAAGGCTCTTGCTTTGCGTGTAGGCACTGAGCATTGCATTCCAGGCAACGAGATTGTGCGCGGGCATGGAATCGAAGAGCGACCTCACTTGCTCCTGGTTCCTGTTGTGGGCATAGGCTTGCATCATGAGAACCCAAGAGAAGAGGTCTCTGGAGGAGCCCAGTGCGTCGAAGACCTCCCGCGCGCGGCCGGAGCTGCCGCAATTGCCATACATCTCGATCAGCTTGTTGTGGACGAAGGCATCGTCCGGGGCGATGGTGGGCTGCAGCTGGGAGTGGATTCGCTCCGCCATAGCCAGCGTCTTGCACGAGTAGATGAGCTCCAGGCATTGCTTGCTCATTAGATCGATCGCTGGGCATTATAGGCGCTCTCTTCCAAAGCAAGGCTAGATATGAAGCTCCCGTTTGGGAATGGAGCGCGAGGCACTGGCACGGATCATACGATCTTGCGGAGAATCCAGGAATTTGATCCAGGGGAGGTTGGTTCACGCGCGAATTCTCGAGCAGCAGCTCCTGGATCGCTACCTCGAGAATCTGCTCGTCCAGATGTATGGGAAGTGTGGCAGCCTGGGTGATGCGCGGACGGTGTTCGAGCGGATCCACGCTCCAAACGCGTTCTCGTGGAGCATCATCATGACTGCGTACGCGCAGAGTGGCGATGTTGGGCAGACGAAGGAGATCTTCGACCGGATGCCCGATCGCGGCGTTGTTGCCTGGACTTCGCTACTATCAGCAAATGCCCGTAATGGGCATATGGAAGAAGTTAAAGCTACCTTCGCGAGAATGCCAGAGCACAGCTTAGTCGCATGGAATGGAATGATCACAGCGTTTGGACAGAATAGCCAACTTGGAAGAGCGAAAGGATGTTTTGATCGGATGCCTGGAAGGAATACCTCATCATGGAACGCAATCATATCGGTGTTTGCCCTTCACGGGGAAATCTCCACAGCTCAGCAAGCCTTCGAGCGGATGCCGGAGAGGAACTCCATGGCCTGGAACCCGATCATCCACGCGCTAAATCTACAGGGCGATGTTTTTACCGCGAGGATGGTCTTCGAGAGCCTCCCGGAGTGCTGCAAAGTCTCCTCCTCGACGATGATCTCGGGCTATGCGCAGGCCGGGCATCTCGACCAGGCCAAAGCTCTCTTCGACTCTTTGCCACACCCGGACGAGTACGCTTGCTCCTCGATGCTCCAGGCCTTCGCCAAGGCCGGGGACGTCCTCGGCGCCAGGGAAACCTTCGACAAGATGCCAGAGCGCTGCCGCGACACTCCCTCCTGGAACGCGATGCTGGGGGCGTATGCGCAAAACGGGCTTGGCGAGCGGGCGCTGGAGCTCTTCGCAGCGATGATCCACGACGGGATCGCTCCCAACGAGATGACCTTCTCGACAGTGCTGCATTCTTGCAGCCATCTCGGAAGGTGGCGAGAGGCGATTGCATACTTCCGCTCGTTGAGCGAAGATCACGGACTGGTGCCGGATGTGGAGCTCTACTCGAGCATGATTGACGTCCTGGGCCGGAACGGGAGGATTTGCGAGGCCGAGGAGCTTCTGGCGAGCATGCCCTTTGCTCCAAACCAGGCCGCCTTTGCGTCGCTGCTCGCGGCTTGCCGGCTCTACCAGGACTCGGGGCGGGGATCGCTCGTCGCGGGGAAGTTTGCTCGCCACCTTTGCGAGCAGCCGGCAGTGGAATCCATCGCCGCGGAGCCGTACGTCCAGCTTGCCAACATTTACAGGGGCATGAACGCTCCCTGATCATTCACTGTTCTTGGAAGATCGGCGCATGAGCTTCGTATGCATTGCTTGCAAACTTGCCAAAAGCGGTGCGTGCGTTTGCTCCACTCCGCCGTGATCATTTGACAGTGCGGGCGATCGATCGAACCTCTCCAGAGGGATCCGACCACGCATTGCTTGCAAACTTATCAAGATACGAAGGGGGGATCTTTAAATTATCTCTGTCTCGCCGCAAGGATGCACAACTGACAAAAAGGCGCCTCCCGGTGTCAAACTTGGAGCGCAATCCACCCACAAAAGGAAAAGCGCCATGGATTCACCATCTGGATCCGATTCGATGCGCGCCAGGACGAAATCGGAGAGTCAATCAAGTGAAGCGTACAATGGAAATGCGCTTTTAAAACTTATTCTTGGCTTGAGAGAATTGGAGCAAAGTCGCAACTATGAGAGAGAGAGAGAGAGAGAGAGAGAGAGAGAATTATCTAAAGAGTTTGGCAGACCAGCCAACCAACGCAAATCAAATCGGAGAAACCAACTTTGAGAATTTGGCTCACGGCTGGCCTGCCAATCAACAGGAAACTTCGTGGGCTCATATAAATCCCGGGGAGTAGAAAAAAACGACACAAGTAAGAAAAAAAAAAAAGAGAAAAATTTGGCAGTGGAAACAATCATAGTCAGTGGGATTTGGGATCACAAAGCATTTGCTCATAGAGAAGTTAAAAAAAAAAAAGAAAACAATTCCACATTTTGATCATCTAAAACATGCGCTAAGAAAAAAAGCTCTCTAGCTCAATGCGCTATAGCTCAGTCGTTAGACGGCTCCTCTCCTAGAGTGGAAAGCAAGCTATACAATCTAGAAGAGAGAAGCGTTGCCTTTTTTGCCGAGCTCCTACTGCTGGTCGTTGTCCTGGGAAGAGAATCTTGATCTTCCGTCCGGCTGGAGAAATCAGCTGGGAAAGTTGTGCTCGCGGTCCCGTTGGAAAGTCTGGAACTTCGGCTGCTTTTGCGCTCGAGTTCTAGCTTTGCTCCGGAAAGCCATGACGGATTTGCTGAGCTTGTGCAAGAGCTCCGCCCAGGCTGACAATGCCAAGGCCCTGGCTGCTTCCAAAAGCCACAGCGAAGCTGAGAGGAGGCGGCGGGAGCGGATCAACAAGCACCTGTCCACCTTGCGAACGCTGCTCCCCAACACCGCCAAGGTAGAGTGAAGCTCTGCTCGCTCGCGTCTTTCTTCTTTGATTGCCTGTCCTGTGATTGAGTCGTCGCCGTCGTGCCAAACTCTTCCCAGACTGACAAGGCGTCCCTGCTGGCGGAAGTGATCGAGCGCATCAAGGAGCTCAAGCAGCAGGTCGCGGAGATTTCCCAGTTTGGCCCCGTTCCCAGCGACGCCGACGAGCTCGACGTTGACGTGATGGAATCGCCGGTAGACGAGGGTGGGAAGGTGTTGATCAAGGCCAGCATTTGTTGCGCCGATCGGCCCAGCCTGCTCACGGACCTCGTCCGGACGCTCAAGAGCTTGCACCTGCGGACCGTCAAGGCGGAGATGGCCACCATGGAAGGCCGGACCAAGAACGTCTTCGTCATGACCATCAAGGACGACGCCGAGCTGCTGGAGCCAACCTTGGCCTGCGTCGAGGAGGCGCTTAAGTCGGTCATGGAAGAGCCATCCTCGAAAGAGAACCAGGATGATGCTTGAAAGAAAAAGGAACTCTTTTCTTTTCTTTGATCTAAGAGCTTTTCGCAGCACCTGCAACAAAGGAAGCGTAAGTCAATCGTCTGTAAACAGAAAAAAACCAAGGAACCTTTTAACCATTGTGGGAGCAGGTGGTACTACGGAAAATGAAAGAATCTGTTAGAAATCTTTGATTTTCAATGAAATTAGATGTGCTCTTTCAATGAATAAATTAGAGCCTATCACGTATAATCTCGTTGGAGACAAAGAGCGAGGCGCGGTCTGTATCTCGCAATTCTTTGTTTGATTTCTTCTCTCGATCTGTCATATACGAGGCAGACGTCGTTAAAACACATACAGCCAAGCGCTAGCGTACCTCTTCCTCACGTTCTTAAAATGAGAAATGTGTTGTTCCAGCAATTCACCTGTTGAAAGTTTTTCTACGGGAAAGTCCGACTTCATCTGGAAAAAAAAAAACACAATGAGAAATATTTTCAACACTAGCCGCTCAGGATCACTCACCACTTCGTCAGGAACATCTCCGTCCTCTTCCGACGGTTCTACCCTCTCAACCTCGGCAGCAGACAGCGGTCTAGGCAGCGGTACCACGCAATCCCAGCACCCCATCTGTCGCACAAGTCCTTATTAAGATTTCACATCGCTGTTCCATTCACATACCTGATCTTTTCTAGGAACATCGTTCCTTACCCATCGACGACAAAGGGAATACAGAGACGACTTATCGGCCTCGGACACAAGTCTAACCTGAACATATGAATGTCATGTAAAAGCCAGCAATGAACAGATCTTACCTTTCTATCATTTATGATCACGGAAAGGGCATCCGGACGGTCCCTGCAAGTAAACACCGGTAAGTAAGAAAATCTCGTAGAGAACAAACACACCTGCCATGGGACTCGCCAGGAGTCATAGAGCTTGAGCCACCACCCTGCCGAAAAAGAAAATTCCAAGCTTAGAGGAAACAAAGTATCCAACAACAAACCTGTCCAGTCGGCGGAAGCCAAGATGGAGATTTCCCAAGAACGGAACCATTGCTCGCCCCGCCAACTCTAAAGTGATGAACTCCTTGCAACTTGTGAGGCTGTGGACTCGCGGAAGCGGACATAACACCCCCGGCCGCCTGTCCAGCGTTGACGTACCGAGGCGAGGAAACCGGGTGTGGAATTCTCTGGACCTGTGTGCCCTGCTGGGACTTCGACGCTGCCGGTTGAGGAGGCCTGGGAGTAGTAGCACCACCCGGTTGCATAGCCGGCATGGGAAGGATTGGATGAGGCTGGCGTAGATGGTGCGAGCCACCGGCGGCGGCGGCGGCCATTTGAGCCTGCGAGAAGAAAGCCGTGGCATACGGTCTCTGCTGCTGGAACTTCTGGAGATGGAGGAACTGACCAGGAGCGGCGGCTGCGCCAGAAGCTTGAGATGTGGTTGGCGGCGCCGTGGTCATATGCCGGACCACCACCGCCGCCCCTTTGGCGGCCCTCCCCTGCGACGAAGACGGTGGCGCGTGTGGATATGGCGCCTGTTGATTCGGCACGCACACTATCCGCTGCTGCTGTGGTATGTGAGGCTGCCTTTGCTGTGCTACCGGAAGAACCAGAGGAGGCGGCGCCGCCATCGTCGATGCCGCTGGAACCGGCACAGCCGCGGCCTGGGAGCTGGAATTCGTGGCCTCCCCGCCACCGCCATTAGAGTTGGGGGCGATCTCGGCGGCTGCCGGCGCGTTGCTCTCCGAGGATGACAAAACCCTAGCCATGGCCGCGGGAGGCGCGCAATCCGGATCGGCTGTGACGCAGCTACTACTGATGCTTGCGCTACTGGTCGTGCTACCGCTTACCACCGCGACCGCTCCTCCGCTGCTCTCCATCCCACAGCATCCCTTAAAACCCTAGTACCGCCTAGTAACTTAGGGCTCTCACTTTCAAATTTTCAAAGTGGGAGATGCCCGCGTTAATACGTGGCGCGCATCCGACGGCCGAGACCCGCCGGCGATCTAACGGCTGGGATTTGAAATAATTCCCGCGAAAAATTTATATGTACAAGTCTAGATCTTTACAATGGTCGGAGCTTCTCTCTCTCCGCGCTTAGGATGTTTTGGAGCTTGATTTGCTGCGCCAGCCGCGATGCCTCGTCCTTGGTGTAGAAATACTTGGCGAGCTCGTCGTCAGAGATGGGCTGATCGTCGCCGCCTGGAGCAAGATCGGCGATGAGCGACTCGTAGTATCCCTGCTCGATCTGATCCCGAGTTACTCCACGCAGGAGAAGGCTCTCGATCGTCATGTCCTCGCAATCCAGTCCGCCCTCCGGTCGATCTTTATCCACAGGCATTCCTCTGGCCAGGGATCGCTTCGCGCTGGCAATGCGTTGAGTAGCAAGCTCCGCCTTGACGATCCTCGCACACCGCGAGCTCCTGCTCGCGATGAAAGACACGGGGAGAACCGGGCTCTCCTCTGGCAAATGCCTCAGCTTCTTGTTCTTCGAGTGGCTTTGATCCTCATCTTGTGAGTAGCTTTGATCCTCATCTTGTACCCGATCGATGGCACTGGAGTCCTCTCGCCTCCTCTTCTTGCCCAGCTTGAGGCTCGTCTCCAAGTAGCGCAGCATGAAGCACAAGTGGCACGATATGTTCTTGGTGGTCACGACCGTCTTGCACCACGGGAACGTCTTCATGGTGCTGACGAGCGCCTCCTGGATCTCGCGGAAGCGCTTCATGGACGTCGCCACCGGCGAGTGGAGCTCGCTCGAGACCTCCTCCAGGCCAATCTCGATCCTGTTCGCGTCCGCCACGATAACCAGCGCGGCCGCGGCAGCGGGGAGCGCGTGACGCCCGGTGCTCACAAACCAAGTCGCCATCCACTCGAGAAGAACCCGGCACTGCCCGATGATCTTCCTCGCGGCATCCCTGCTTAGCTTCGAGAATCCAGCGTGCGTGAGAACCAGGCGCTCGAGGAAGACGATGGGATCCTCCTGCGGCAGCGCCATGGCAAACTCCCTGACAAGCTTGCCAAGAACTCGCCCGAGCTCGCGAACGCCACAGTCGCTCGCGTAGGCCACCTCCACCAGCGTCAGTGGAAGCCTGTGATTCCTCACCACCACATAGGCGCAAGCGCCCACTAGAGCATCGAACCATCTCCCAGACCCCCAGTCTCCATTCGTCGCGCGATCCACCATAGCCTCCACCTCGTCGGCGTCGTTGGGCTGGAGCCTCAGCGCCGCCGCCACGTCCCGGATCCGCCGCAGCGCATCCTGCTTCTTCTTCGCGAAATACTGATCACTGCCACCGTTGCGATAGAGGAATCGCTTGCCGGCGAGAGCTCCGATCCCTTCGCCGGCTACGAGAGTTCCCCCGCGCTCACCGACGAGCCCTACCTGGTGATCGGAGCCCAGCGCGTCGTCGTCCACGACCACGCCGCATTCGCAGCAGCAAAAGAGGCCGGAGAGCGGATCGGTCGTGACAGTGCCGGCGCGCCCACAGGCGCTACAATCCTCCGCCATGGCCCAAGAACCCTAGAACACCAAACGAGTTTCGCTAGAACCCTAAAAACAGCGTGGATGATCCGCCAAAAATCTGTTAGGATTCGTTTAGATTGGAATGTTCAATGCTGGCTCGGCCACAAAGAATGCCTCCACGCAGCACCGCCCCTCCACGATCCCCTTGCACTCCGGCAGCCATCGCCAAGCCCTCGTCGCAAGATCCAGCGCGCACACGAGCACGCCATCGTAGCTCAAGACAAAGATCCAGGAGCCGCGCCCGGCGCAGCGGAAGGAATCTCTCCCAGCCCCGCCATCCAGAAAGCAGCAGCACAGCTCCCGTGGCATCTCTTCCACAAGATCCCACGATTGGGCCTCCTTGCCGAGCTTCCAGATCCGGATTGCCTCGCCCAGCGCGGCGACGAGATGAACCTCCTCGCCGCACAGCACCAGATTGGAGCTCGCGATCCCGGTGGGGAGAGGGATCTGGGTCTTGCTCCACTCGCCGCGGGCAAAATCGAACGCCAGGAGCCGGCAGCGCGGGATCAAGCACGTCACGTAGAGGAATCCGGCGCTCACCACGCCTTCGCTCTCGAGATCCAGCACGTCGATGGGCAGATCCCCCTTGCGCGCCCACGCCGAGGGTGCGGTCGAATCAAACACAAAGGTCCTCTGATCGCTCCACCCGCCCGGCCCCGCGACGAGGATCTTGTACCCGCCCTTTTGATCGATCTGGATGGCCGTGAGCAGCGGCAGCAGCCGCGAGCAGCCAGGGATCTCCGGCAGCAGCCTCCACGATCTGGTGAGAGGATTGCACGCTATGATCCGCGACGCGGTGGTGAGGCACAGCAGCCCTCCGCCAGACGCCACGACCGAGACCTCCATCTCCATCCCAAAGATTGGATCCAAAGAGAGAGGCTGCCAGCAGCCGCTCACGGGGCTGAGCGCCGCTATCACGGCGGCGCCGCCCGGCCCCGTGGCGGTGAAAAAGAGGAAGAAGGACGAATCCCCGCTGCCGCCGCCGCCGGATCGATCCATCCGGGCGCACAGATTGATGAAGCCCTGCGAGAGGATCAACAAACTCCACTCCTTGGACACGGCGCGCATTTGTAGCAATCTGGGCACCGGCACCAGCGTGAGAACGCGCTCGATCAGCGCATCCGGGAGTTCTTTCCACACGGCGTCGCTGGCCTCCTCCATCGCCGCCGCTGGCCGGCCAGCGGGCGAGAAGGGTATCAAAGATTCTACCACGCCCTTTTTTGAATTCTAGGGCTCCCGCGCAAAAAGAATGAGAATGACGGCCGGTAAGATAAAACCTAAAAATCCCGAGATTCCCGCGATTTTAGCGGCGGCCACTTGGACACCATTCCATGGAGGAAGAAAGATTTCCAAGGTCCTTGGAAGGAATCCTTTCTTTTCTTTCTTCCCGCTAAACGCACTGGAAGCTTCGCCCGGTGGGCTTTCGAATCCCCCTATCGGCCATAGCCTTCCGTACCATGGCCACGTCCTCCCACCGCCGCGCCGCCGCGTACAAATTGGCCAGCAGCACGTACGGCGCGGCGCTCTCGGCCTGGAGCTTGAGTACGGCGCCCACCGTGTCCTGGGCCCGGGGCATATCCCCCTGGATCTTGCAAGATCCCAGCAAGGAGTTCCACGCCGCCACGTCGGGCTCGTACGGAAGCCCCTTGACCACTCTCTCGGCTAGCTCGAGCTGCCCGATCCGGCCCAGGAGATCCACCACGCAAACGTAGTGCTCGATCGCCGGGATGAGCCCGTGATCCATGCCCATCCTCACGAAGTAGCTCCAGCCGAGATTGCGAGTGCCCGAGTGAGAGCACGCTTGCAGGATCTCGATGTAGGTGAACTTGTCCGGGAGAGATCCGTGGAGCTGCATCTGGTGGACGAGATCCAGGCTCTCGGGCAGATGCCCGTGCTGTGCATACGCTGCGATCATCGCATTCCACGATGCTACCGTGCGCTTGTGCGAGGCATTGAAGAGCGCGCTCGCCTCGGCGAGGCTGCCGCACCGCCCGTATAGATTGAGCAGCGCCGCCACCACCGCCGGGAAGATCACGTCGTGGAGCCCCTCGAGCTTGCGGTGGATCGCCCGGCCCGCGACGAGCTCGCCGAGACAGGTACACGAGTTCACGGCGTTGACGATGGTGGCCGGCGATGGCTGGAGGGAATGAGCTTCCATCTCTTCCAAGAGCTCGATCGCCTCCTCGTAGCACTCGTTCTCCACCAGCGCAACGCTCATGGCGGCGAATGCCACCGCGTCTTTGGCTGGAATCGACGCGAACGCCGCCGCGGCGAGCTCGATCCGGCCGAAGCTACCATACATCGCCACCAGCGCTGTTCCAAGCGTCAGCCTCGCGGAATCGCTCGGATTCTCGCTCGTTACCCGTTGATGCATCGCTCGCAGCTCCTCCAGCGAGCTACACGAGGAGATCCCACTGGCGAGGGCCGCGGTATCCGGAAGAATTCCCTCCGCCTCCATCGTCTGGAAGAGCTCTAGTCCCAGCACTAGATACCCTTTCTGGGCATATGCCGCGATCATGGCAGTCCAAGTCACAACGTTCCTCTCGCCGTGGCTCTCGAATGCCCGTCTGGCGTCATCCAAGATCCCGCATTTTGAGAACATAGTGATCAATCCCGTGAGGATCTCATTGTGGCGATGGTAGCCGCAGTGGATCACCAGGCTATGGATGTTTCGAGCGTCTTTTAGATCGAGCGATCCGAGCCTGGAGCACGCCTCGATCCGGATTATAAACGTCTGCGCGTTGGGCTTGGCGCCCTCGTGATCCATCTCGTGGGCGGCCTCTCGGAAGCGGCGATCGTTGCCGTTCTCGACACACGCGGCGAGGATCGAGTTCCAGGCCACGGTGTCGTGAACTGGGAGATCATCGAAGACTCGTCGTGATTCTTCCAGGCACAGGAAGCTCGAGTAGGCATTGATCAATGCCGTGCATGCGACTACGTCCGAGTCAAAGCGGCAGTCCACAATGCATGTGTGGATCTGGCGGACTTGGGCGACGCTGGAACACGCAGAGAGGATGATCGCGAATGTGGGAACGCTGGGTTGGACTCCCTCGAGATCCATGACCAAGAACAGCTCCATCGCTTGGTGGATTTGCCCAGTTGTGGTAAATGCCGTGATCATAGCAGTCCAGGCCACAACATCTTTTTCAATGATCTGATCAAACACCGCTTGCGAGCTTTCGATGCAGCCACACTTGGCATACATGTAGACCAGCGCATTGTGTATCGACACAGCGTTTTCAAACCCAAGAGCAAGGATTCTGCTATGGATCACTCTCCCTTGGCTTAGATCTTCTAGTTGCGTGCACGCAGAGACTAACTCCACAAATGTGAAGAAATCGGGCTTCACTCCCTCCAAATCCAAATGAAAGAAACAAGAAATCGCTTTCTTACATCCAAGATGCCCGGTTTGGGCATATGCTGTTAGCAGCGCATTCCAAGATGCGACATCCTTTTCCACAATCACATCAAAGCTTTCTCTTGAGTGATCAAGCATGAAGAGCTTTCCGTACATGGTAATCAAAGCCGTTCCTACGTAAACATCGGATTCAAGTCCAGTTTCGATCACACATGCATGGATTTCCATCCCGAGCACGGCTAAACCCCGACCTTGGGCTGACGAGCAAGCACGGACCGCTGTAGCGTACGTGAACCCATCGGGAAGAACCTCTCCCTCGATCACCATCTCCAGAAAAAGCCGCAGCGTTAGAACAAAATTTCCATTCCGGGCATACGCTGCGAGGAGGATGTTCCAGGAGAAAACATTCCGCGCGCTGATCCGATCAAACGCGGCCCGCGCGCTTTCCATGCCGCAGCAGTTTCCATACATCTGGACAACAAGATTTCCCAGAAAGGTGCTGCAATCCAGCAGCCCGGAGCGCGAGATCTGCGAGTGGAGCCGAGCGGCAGCGTCCATGTCCCTGCATTGCCGCGCGAGTGCTGCAAACGCATTCTCTTGCTGGTGCCGCAGTGACAGGGCACTCCATCGCATCCCCTGTCGCCCAGCCAGGGCGATTCAAATGGAGCAATCATCCAGGCATCTTATATGTTCCCGGCATATGCCCTGATCGGGCATCTAGAAGGTGGGCATCTAGTGGGCATTTGTAAGAGAGCTCCGTGTTTGATGGAGAGATCATGTTTGTGCTTTGACGAACTAGCTTCACGATTCCTTTAGTTTAAGCTAAAATCGCTATTGCCGAAAGCAACACGGAAAGGAAACCGCGTGAGATTGCCGTGTTCTAGAGGAGGACAATTTGACCCTTTACAGTTGGTCCAAGTTTCTAGACGATTTGGTTTCCTGGATCAAGCTTTCAAACGGCGGCGGGAGCAAAGCAAAGCTTGGACTTTGGCACAACTGCAGGGAGTTCTTTTCGCCATGGCTGCGCCAATCGATCAAGCCGAGCTGCGCCGTGCCTTCGACATGTTTGATTCCAACCGCGACGGCATGATCTCCAGGCAGGAGCTCCGGGAGATTGGCGACAAGCTGGGGATGCGGTGGAGCGACGAGGAGACCAGCTCAATGCTGGAGTCCGTGGACGAGAATGGGGATGGTCTGGTGGATTTTGGCGAATTCGTCGCCCTCTACTCGCAACACATCCAGGGCGAGGAGATCCAGGCGGCGGAGGAAGCGCGGATCAAGGCCGAGCTCCAGGAGGCGTTTGAGGTGTTTGACAAGAACAAGGATGGATTTATCACGGCGCTGGAGCTCCACTCCGTGCTTTGCAGCCTCGGCCTCAAGCACGGGAGCGATATGGTCCACGTCAAGAACATGATCTCCAGCGTAGATGCCGATGGCGACCACAAGGTGAACTTTAAGGAGTTTAGAACCATGATGTCCAAGGCCAAGGTCATGTAACAGTAAGAACAGTGGATATGCGTGACAAAACAAGTTTGTGTGTCTCGATTTGATGGAAACTGTTTCGAGAAACTAGCAGCAGCAACTTACGAAGCTAGGATAGATTTTTAGTAGCACTGCGTGTGCCTGGCTCGAGCTCTTGTTTCGATCCATCTCATCTCACACCTTGTCATCGTGGAACCACCACCTCGTGTCTTTGGGCGATCGCCCGTTGCGGCAGTTCCGGACGTAGCGATCGTTATCCGGTGGCCTCATCTGGATCAAAGCGGATGTGAGATGAGATGCGCGCGAGAAGGAAACAAGCTACTAGAAACCTTGACTGTGGAGCTCGAGAGCATCGAGAGGATGCTGATGCAGATGGAGCTGACGGTCATGGCTGGCGACCACGAATCATAGAGAATATCTGGGAGAAGGACACACACAAGAAGAAATGAAAAGTTTGAGTCGATCATCCATCAAGATCTATCACGGCTGGAGAGAAGTAAAAAAAAAAGAGAGAGAGAGAAAGCTTCACCTAAGCAAATGTGCCCGTTGCTGTAGACATGGGGATGAAAGGGAGGATTGTGGATGAAGATAACCTGTCCATCGGATCAGCAAAAGCTATGCGAGAAGGAAAAAGAAAAAAAAAACTTTTTTTTACACGTACTTGAGGAGCTTCCATGGGATAGTGCTCGGGGAAATCCACTTGCAGCTGGAATTGCTCATTTGCGTAGAGCGTGCCAGGTGCTCCACTCACTTCAATGATCCACCTGGATCCAAATCGAATCAACCAAAAGCACAGGAATCAAACACACAGTTCGTCCAAAACGAGAAAAACAAAAACGAAACTATTACACACCTTTGGAGATTATCGGTCGGCCTGTGCTTGAATCCGGCAGGGGGATTGTTCTCCCACTCCTTAAGCTCCTTGTGCAACCGGTTCGTGGCAATCTTGCTGAGAGCCTGGGCGCGAGAGAGGGGGAGACGAAGCAGGAGAAACCAAAGACCTAAATCCCGCAATGCGAGAATTCTCACCTTCTGAGGTACCGATGTGCTCATGATGCCCAGCAAAATGCCCGCGATTGCCCTGCGATTGCCGATCGGGCGCCCCAAAACATGCTCGCGAGACAAAACCAAGGAGACAAAAACAAGGGTTTTCCCGGCCGGGAATATGCCACAGCTATTCCCGCGGACCCGTACGCCAGATCCGACGGCCCAGATCCGCCGCCGCCGTACGGGCGATCTAGCGGCACATTCGAATCCGGTGGTGCATATTCTACGCATCTGATCCCTTTTGGCTATGGTATAAGAGGTCACAGAGGGAGGTAAGAGCGCAGATAAGAGAAATGGAGAGGATGATGAGCAGCGACGATCAGTTGTTTGAGCTAGAAAGGGGCGTCGCAGCGAAGATCCGGGCGATGATCCGGCGGATGGAGGCGAGCAATGTCGAGTCCACGGCGATCAAGCAGAGGGCGCGCGGGCAATTGCCTTCCAAGGTACTGAGCGTCATGAGCGGCAGGAGGCAAGCCCAAAATCTCGGCTCTAGCGCGGCGGATGTGGAGCAAGTTAGCGTAGATTCGGCCAGTCTCCTCTATTTCATGCTCCTGGCCGCAGCCGATCAAGAACAATAGCAAACACCAAAACAACTTCCTTGTTCTTTGGGTCGATCTAGAATCTCTTGAAGAGAATATGGTGGTGATCAAGGACCTCGACCCTTAGAATCTAAAACCTATAATTTTTCGTACCAAATGCTTGTCAACGTGAATAAAAGGCTTTATTGCAAACACAAAATTTATTACCTAATGCTTATTACTACGAGCAAACATCTGTTTGCTTTTCTTGAAAGTGATGGAATCCCCGTAGCTTCAATAAAACCACTTGAAATCATTAAAATCCTCGGCGAGTGGAGCACGCCATTGTTCCATCGCCAAATTCTTTACGCAAGCGCGTGTCAATTATTGGTATGCTGATTACGATAGGAAATGGATTTACATAATGGAGAAGCGTCCTGTGGAACTTGGATCATTCACGCTGTTGCTTTGTCTACGCACAAAGTTAAAACACACACCTGAGCATACGCATCAAAGAGGAAGAATACGTCTCTTACTGATTGGCTTCACCACATTCTCCGTTTCCGTTGGGGGATTCCAGAGGATGGTCGTCTCCGCGATCATCGAGGTCACAACGTAGGGGTCCATGTTTGATGCTGGACGGCGGTCCTCAAAGTAACCTGCATATACAAGAGTTTTAGCTTGATCACAATGAACAGAGATGATACACACACCTTTTCCTTCCTTTTCGGTGTCACGGCCAACGCGAACCGATGCTCCACGGTTGGCCACACCCTGAGGAAATGAAAAAACAATCGAGGAAACCATTGAGTAAAGTCTCTTCTTTTTTGTGTGGTGTGGAAGACTTACCCAGGAGAAGGTATGAATGTCTGCCGTCTCGTGCCTGCCAGTCAAGCGCCGCTCGTTGCCTTCTCCATAAGCAGCAATGTGGTCCTTGTGTTTCAAGCCAAGCTTGCCGATGGCCTTCTTGATAATCTCGTAGCCACCCTCTTCTCTCATGCTCTTGGTGCTGTTGATGGTATGTTAGTTGCCATGGCAGAAACATGAAGCAACGAATCATACCTGTAGTTTGCGTGACATCCGGCACCATTCCAGTCACCCTGGCACGAGAACAATCGTCAACCACACCTCTTTTTCTTAAAGCTTTTCTCACCTCGATTGGCTTCGGATCAAAGGAAAGCACGACATTAGCAATCTCGGTGACTCGCTGCATGGAAAACATCAGTTGAATGATCTCCACTATATTGATCACAGTTTTACCTCCAGAATGTATCTCGCGGCCCAGAGCTGGTCGCCAGCAGAGATCCCAACCACGGGCCCGACTTGAAACTCCCACTGCAAAACCAAGAACAAGAGGAGGTGCTTCTTAGAGAAGGAAAACCAACACAAACCTGTCCCGGCATGACTTCTCCATTGATGCCACTGATCTGGATACCAGCGTAGATGCAAGCTTTGTAATGAGCATTCACAATGTCTCTCCCCCAAGCTTTCTCGGCTCCAGTTCCGCAATAGTATGGTCCCTGTTGGCGTGCGTAAGAAACGAAGACTTTTGGAGCGAGCCAAGTCAAATGTATACCTGCGGGCCAGGATAGCCACCAAGCGGCCATCCTAGTGGCCACTTGACTTCCTTCTGGAGCAACGTATACTCTTGCTCGAGTCCATACCTGTCACAGTTTGCAAATTCACATTCCAGTGAGACGAAAAAGGAAAGGATTCTTCACGCCTTGCAACTTCATGCACGCCGCTACTAAGATCACGAGAACTTACCAAGGGACTTCATCAATGACAGCCTTTTGGTTGAAAATCTCCGCGGCTTTCGCACGCTTGTTCGTGGGGAGCGCGACTCCCTTTGGTGTGTAAGTGTCGCAGATAACCTTCGCAAGAGAAACAAATCCAGGATTATGGATACGAGGGACGAAGGATCCAAAGAAATTACCAAGATGTTGTTTCCTCCCCGGAAAGGATCCTTGAAAATCGCCTGGGGGCTTTCAAAGTTCGTTCGTTCACACAAGAACGTCAGTGATCATAGTATCAATCACAAAGAAATAGAGGGAGCTTACTATAGAATGACCTCACTATCCTCGCCTGGGGCCTGTCCGGTGCTGGAGCCATCGTAGTTCCACTTGGGGAGCTGCTTGGGATCGGTAATCGGTCCCTTGAGAGTCTGTGGAAACGAAGCAAAATCCGTGAGAAATCCTGGCAATGCACGCGCAGAGATTACATACTCGGCCCTTGCTCCGGATGTCCGTCCCCGACCCTCCAATCCTGCGCCATGCCAATCAATCGGGGCTTTCAATCAAGAACGTCTTCCATACCATATGTACTCGGCGATGATCTGCTTCGTGTCAGAGATGTCGAGGTTGAGCAGATCGTTGAGAGACGACATCCTTGGAGTCGCGCGCCGCGCCGGGGAGGGGAAGAACAAGCTCCCGGATCGCAGCCTCGCAGCGCCAAACAAGACCTGATTTAAAGCCGGCCCTCGGGTCGGGCCACTAGAAAATCTCCGGAATTGCGCCCCCGGCCGTACGAGGGGCCCAAACGGACGCTCCGGATTGGGCCGTACCCTCCGCCCAACCACACCCTCTCCTTGCAATCCATCCGCCAACCACACGTTCGTGTGTGCTTGGATGGGTTTGACTTTTTAGTGTGGCCCGGTTAGTCAAATCGTTGAATTCGAATGTTTGACAAGGGCGCACCTAAGCCTCTCTTCCTGGGGACTTTTCAGAAGGGCAGGCTAGAGCCTTTGCCATGCACAAACAGCCTTGGTGCCTCTAGCGCTACCTGAAATCTTGCTCTCTTAAATTTTGCTCTAAAATGACCCTTTGGTGCGCTCAAATTCTAGGAACGGGTTTCTTCTACAACAGCTCCAGATTGTCTTGGAGAGGCACCACATCATTTATATATATATTGAGGTGTGGAGATGACGTTTTGTTTTGTGGTCAAGCTTCTTCTTCTTTTTCTGTGATTAGATCAGCTATTTTTGTGTGGACTATACCACGATGTCAACTTCCTGGATCCGCTGCAGTAAAGAATGAATTATGTAATTGTTGTTTGTAATCCAAGACATGAAGACGATGTTGTATGTCCCAAAAACTTGACATACTAAGTTGACATTTTAATGCCAGTTGGATGGCTAACAACATTGCATGATATTCCACCTTGTTAGAAGAAGACCTCAAAACCACCATCGATGTGAAAATGTCCGAAAGGACTGGCAGATAAGTATTTCTTATGCCTAAAATCACATTGGTGACAATGCTTCATGAAAGTTGCATTAGACAATGAATGCTACTTAGATTCATATTTCATCAGCTAAAAGGAATTATGCTTGCAAAAGTTGATTTGGCCATCGCATTATAGCAAGTCCATGCTTTGAAAACCTTGTGAAATTGAGCAAGGATGGAATCAAAATGTTCATTTAGGAGAGTAAATCACTAGTAATATCAAAAACTAGAGTTCCCATTTCACCTCCTGCATGGATTCATTTCCAAAATGGGTTTCTAGATTATCTTGCCAAACCTTGCAGATCCATCAAAAAGAAACCAAATTTTGGGGTTTTAGAAGGTTTGTAAATAAGCATGTTTGACACATTGTTGTGCATTTTACTTTTTTTATCATAAATAATAATTTTTACTATATTTACTGTTGTGAATTATAAAAGGTAATTAAGTACTAATATTATTTACTTACTTGGCATGAACAATAGCAGTTTTTGTGTACTGTTGATTCACACATACACATCTCTTACTGAGTGTGTATGAGTAATTGAACTTTTCACAACCTGCCAACTTAATATCTCACCTCTTTCATATCACTCTAAGAATAAAAAATACTAAAAGAGCTTCTAGTTTTAGTATGAATTTTACAATAGAGTGTCACCAAGACAGTAAAAGGCATCATGGGGAACTTGGTTGGAGCATAGCAACCACGAAAATGGCAGTAGCTAGGTTAGTGACTTTTCTGGTTGAGTTCGAGATGGGAAAGCCAACAACAGCAGTAGGGTAAAGGCTTCTTGCCAACCATCCCATTATAGCCCGATGTTGAGCTGGGTAAGTATTTTATCTCTTATTTTCTGTGACCATCTGATAGCTTCTTCACAACATAGAGCCCTTCCAGATGAGAGGACTCTTGTGCCAGTGTCTTGGGCTTGGGAAAACTTGACAAAGCTGCAGCCAAGAAGTTCTTCCAGGATCACTAGTTTGGAGCCTATGGAAGGATATCTTTTGAGTGATTGGAATATCCCTGATGTGGGGATTTTTATCTTTTAGGAGTTTCTCTCACTTTTATCAATTCAAAGGGATTGAAAGACCTTGAGCTAGGGGCATGAAAGTGAGATGAAATGCTGCTGCGAAGTCTGCACATCACAGGTGGTGACCCAGACAGCGCACTTGGGTGAAAAAGAAGCAATGGGCTTGACACAAAGTCACGCGAATTAGTTTGATTAAGAAAGTTTATAATTTATAAATGAAAAATGCTAGAATATACTTGAAGGTGTTTAAAGAAGATTAGAGAATATCCAAGCATATTCTAGAACCAAGAAAACCAGAATAAAAGTAAAAATCTTAATTGTAAAAATAATTAGAATACCCACTCTAGATTCATAAGCTACCACCATAAGATACTCTGAAGAAATCCATGACTTCTTAACGTAAACTCTATGTTGCATTAGGTGAAGGCCGGTCTCCTTCCATACGTTTGGATGGTAGAAGTTTCTTGTTATACAAGAAGTGCTATTAGAATTTTTTGCAATATTGTTAAATATTACGTGATTCGTTTGTAAGTAGTTGTCTCTGTCGAAACAGATCTTTTGTAAGTTCAGAGGTGCTGCCGTATAGGATGCATAGAAGTTTTCCTCTAAATTTCTTAAGCACAGTAAAGAGCTGTTCCAATCGCTAGTGGCCAACTAGACAGACGATGGAAGCTAGAGTGGGAAACCTCCGGGAGGCAACCCTTGGCAGCTTCGATGACTCTCTTGATGAAAGGCATTTGAAAATATTGCGACTATAATGCCATCGCCATCTCAAATGCCACGTCATACGCCCCTTTAGCAATATAAATTAAAGATACGAATTTCGGTGTCCAAAGGGTAACAAAATTTGGGCCTTCTCAATTATTGAGCATTGAAAACACAGCGCCCTTATTGCAAACGCAGTGCTAGGGTTTTCTTGATCGATCGATGGCTGTTGCTTCCTCCTCCGCCAATCTCCCAAGGCTTCCAAGATCGGGGCTAGGGCTCTCGAATCGCAGCTCCAGCGGCGCCACTCGGCGGGGCGCCTGTGTCCGGTGCGCGTATGCGCCTCGCGGCGGGAGGGTCGCCCTCGCGGAGCGCGCAGCGCAGCCGAATTTCTACGAGGTTTTGGGATTATCGTCGCAAGACGTGGATTTGTCGAGCATCAAGCTGGCCTACCGGCAAATGGCGAGGAAATTTCACCCGGATGTGTGCCCCAGGGAGGAGATGGAGGAATGCACGCAGCGATTCATTGTTCTCCAGGAGGCGTATGAGACGCTGTCGGATTCCAGGCGCCGTGCTATGTACGATCTCGCCATCTCGGGCGCGCTCGATTCGCACGGGATTGCGGTGTCCTGGGCGACGGATTTCGAGGTGGGTTCTCACTCTTTTCTTTCTTTCGCTCGAAAGGAATCTAATCTTGATCGATCTTCTCCAGGATGATTGGAGGATGAGATGGGCCGATCAGCTATCCGGGCTGAAGAGAAGGAGCGCCGTGAAAGAACACGAGAATCGAGAGAGCTGGGCTGCGAGGATCCGGCGGCAACAGCAACAGCAATAGCATAAACAATAGATCAAACCATGTACATTGATAGATAAAAAATAGATGCCGGGAATATACGCATCGGTTAAACTTATCCAAGCCAGCCCATGCATGAAAGACACGTCATCGTGTTAATCTCTCCACTGTGGACGTCCGCCACGTGTCCTGGCATATTCCCCCATTCCATTCGAGCTTTTCCCCTTTCCACCAAAGCCTCGGAGCTCGTGATGCTTGCTATGGCTATGGACGTCGCGCATCGCGGATCCATCGCTTTGAGCGCCCCGGGAGGTAATTTTCGGGAGTTCTAGGCTATCGATCCAGATCGCGGCGTTTTGGGGCGGCATCGCAGCTGGAATTAGCGTGGCTCGCTGCGGCATGAGGTAGATTCTTGGAAATCCGGGGAGGGATGGCTGCCGGGAGTGGCCGCGGCGAGAATGCGGCAGCGTCGGAGGAGAATCATCGCGCCCTGGTGCCGCGAGCTGCGGAGAATCATGCGAAGATGATGCTTGTGGGCGCCGGCGCGCGATGCTTGTTCTATCCCACGCTCTTCTACAATGTTGTTCGCAATAGATTCCAGCCAGAGTTTCGGTGGTGGGATGAGATTGATCAGGTATGGATTTTCCCCCTTTGGACAAACACTCGTACTAATTTTTTTTTCGGTTTATTTTTTTTTTTCGATTTTTGCTCCTTGTAGTTTTTGTTGCTGGGTGCTGTCCCATTTCCAAGAGATATACCCCGGCTTAAGGAAGCTGGTGTTCATGCAGTGGTGACTTTGAACGAATCATACGAGACTTTGGTTCATACTTCCTTGTACAAGGTTTGTGAGAAACAAGAATGGCTTGAGATCTAAAACTTTGCTGCTTTTGTGTAGAATCAAGGGATCAATCACCTTGCAATTCCGACCAGGGACTATTTATTTGCACCATCTTTCGTTGATCTTCGCCGGGCAGTGCGATTCATTCATGGTAAGTTTTTATCACAGTTTATCTCCGTTTGGTTTTTGAGTAGATTCCAAATGCGCAGATCACGCACAACTTGGGATGAGGACTTACGTTCACTGCAAGGCAGGACGAGGACGAAGCACCACTGTTGTGATTTGCTACTTGGTAAAGTTCTCTGTAGCTTTTTTTCTCTCTCTCTCGATCGAGTTTCTTACTCGTTTCTCTCAGGTGGAGCACAGAGGGATGACTCCTCTCGAGGCTTTGAGTTTCGTGCGCTCCAAACGACCTCGAGTTCTTCTAGCCGCCTCCCAATGGAAGGTACACGAAAACTTCCGGTTTGATAATTGCCGCGATAGAGCGACACCTCTTTCTCTCTCGCCCTCCAGGCAATCCAGGACTACTGTGATCAAGTCATCAAGCCACAGTGCTACATGACTCTGAGCTTCCACACCTCCACATTTTCTCCGGAGCTAGTCGCCACCAGCAGAGAAGCTCCATCCAGCACGGTGACGGCTGTGGAGGATTTGGACTTGGACTTGCCAGTGCTGGTTAGCAAGGCAGACCTGGTGGGCTACACGAGCATCGAAGACGCGGGGATCATCGGCAACGAGCTGTGGAAAGACATAAGCTTCGTTTGCCGCTTCCGGCTGGCCGCTATACGCAACTTTCGAGCGGCTTCCGCCTGGATCGGCACGCATTCCAGAGGGTCAAGCCTGGAAACTTGCAAGAAGATGGCCGCTTCATCGCCATCGCCATCCTCTTCGTCGTCGCCATCGTCACCATCGTCGACTTCGGCGTATGCTTTGGACGGAGTCGTGGTGCCCGTTTGCTAGTCGGGTGGGAAACTGATAAAACCATCGTGTCTGGGATTTTGCCAGGTGGCACTGGTGGGGCCGTTGAGCCGGGCAGTCAATCGGCGGCCAGTTCTTGTTGTAAAAAGGGGTTTTTTCTTCTTACCGCTGCAGTAAGAAATTCAAATTTTTGTCCCCCATTTTTGTCGAGGGTTCATTCTCAAACCTTTGCGAGTCGCGCTTCCATCGGCCCGGCGGCGGCGCGTCGATCGGGCAGAGGTTTGAGCGCTTGTAGGTTTGGATCTTTGCGCGCTGGGCTTGGATCGGCTGTTCGGGCAGGGCATTTTTGTGCTCCTCGATTCGAGCTCTCAAAATGGTATGTTGTTTCCCTTGCTCCTGGGCGCCTTGGCTGATTTGAGGTGGTTCTATTTGCAGGGTTTCCTGTCTGGGGAAGAAGTGTGAGTGTTTGTGAATGGATGTATCTATGGTTTCTTGATGGACCTTGTGCATGCAGCGAGCAGCAAGTGTTTGCTACCGTTCACAATCTGGAGCATTGTGTTAAGTACATAAATCAGTCGCTTGTTGCCTATGGATTTCCAGCACCGCTCGAGCTGGGCTCGCAAAATCCGGTATGGAACATTTACTCTTTCTTTAGCAACTCACCAAGAAAAAATATTTTCAATGGTACAGGTTGCTGTTGCCAGAACTTGCAACTGTTTGTTCGCGATACTTCAACAACGGCAGCACGATGTGGAGTTTAGAGAAACAGTCGATGATCAGCGACAAAGGTAAGTTCGCTTACTTACGCTTGTTTGTGTCTAAGTAAGTTTTTTCAGGCTTTTATCTGACATTTCCCGGCTTGAGTCCAAAGTCGAGAGGCTCGAAACCAATCTCGCGGCCAAAGAGAGGGAGCTGTCCGGGATGCTCAGCAAGGTTTGTGTGTGTCTCTCAGTTCTTTGGGAATTATCACTCGTGCTCTCGTAATTACAGGAGCAGAAAATGACTGCTACTTTTAAAGCACAGCTTGAAAAGCTTCAGCAAGAGCGTGACGAGTTTCAGAGAATGGTAATCGGGACACAGGTATGTGATTTATCGTACAGGTAATATATGTTCAATGATGGTCGCCTGCAGCAAATACGAACGCAGCAACTTCACGAGATAAAAAAGAAAGAGAAAGAATTCCTCAAACTTCAGGTAATGCTGATGCCATCTACTGGCTCAAGGGCCTAAACTCTGGAATTTTCTTAGGAACGACTGAATCAAGTTCTTGCTGACAAGAAAAAAGAATCAAGGTCGGGGATGGAGATAATGAGTCTTCTACAGGCATGAATTTATCGCTTCTCTTTAGAGTTTCAATTGCGAAGTTACTGTAAACAGAAAGAAAGCCGTCAGCGTGGTACATGGAGCAGCAAGAAAGCCGATGGGGATTTCTACAAAATGATAGTAAGTGCCAGCGTAAAAGTATGATAAAAAAAAACTGCCGATGCTTTTGTTACAGGTGGATACTTATGAAAGTAAAAAGCAAGAACTCATGACTGAAAATGCGGAGCTGAAGACACTTTTGCGGGCAATGCAGGTCCGTGTCAAAACGCTTTCCTAGTTAATATTGAATGCTTAACAGATGGACATGAGAAACTTTTTGAACAATTCACAAACTTCTTGTGACAACGACTTGCCAGATCGTCCAGTAACTCCGCTTGGTGGACGCGCGGTAAGCTGGTGCTTCACTTTTTCTATCTAGTTTCACATCGACTTCTCTGCAGGATTTGTTCGATCTTCCCTTTCACATTGCGAAAGACCAGATTGAGGAGAGTTTGCGCTCGAAAATGGCATCGATCAAGGTACACTTGCAAGCGTTACTTGTTTTTCTACATCGTTTCTCTCTTGATGCAGGAATACATTATTCAGTTTCAACAGGCTGAGAAGGGGATGCAGCTTGTCAGCGAAGCTACTGAGCGGGAACTTGAGCTGGAGGCGCAACTCGTTGAAGCTCGCAGCATAATCCAAGAGCAGGTGCATGCTTTCATGATAGGAGTTGTCGTCTGACTGACTATGTTCTATGCAGGCAGCTGCGATGAGCAAACTCTCCGAGTAGGAAACCATCACTAGTTTGTTTTAGCAGTGTTACTTATGAGTGCATTCCCTTTGCAGGGGGTATATCGATGAAAATCATGTTGACGAGCTTCAAGGCTATGGATCTGGCTGCTCTCTCCTCCAAAGAATGTCGCACCAGCTCGACAAGGAGCGCTTGGAAATGGTGCAAGCAAAGGAGCGGCTTCAGGTATGTCCGAAACTACGGTTTTCTTTCATTTCCTATATGAAAATGACATTTGAGTATGAGCAGGAAGAGCAAGAAGCTTGGAACGTGAAGCTGAGCAAATGGACGTCTGAAATCGAATCGCCTAACAAGGTAAGCGACGCAGCGTTCAAGCTTTTCGAGCTCTATCTCAACTTTTCTCACAGGTCCTCAATTGTAATGCGGAGGCGGCCAACAGAAGTCATGGATTCTGTGGGGGGCTAACGGAATCGTACGCAGTGTAAACCAGGAAAGCGAGCATTGGGCTGTGCTGCTCATCGTCAACCTCTGGTTCTCGTGATCAATCAAAGTTTGGTTTCGAAAGTGGCTCAGTGGAATCGAACCAAGGGTGGGGTGTAGGGCTTTAGATTTCTTCTTGGTTTTGAGGCGATGGCAGCTCCAGGGAAGGCTTTGCTTACTGCTGGCCTTGCCGCGGTGGGCGGCATTGTCACGCTTTCGCTCATCTCCACCGTCTCACTGCGAGCATTCAAAGCTGTCGTGGATAAAAACCGGGTAAGCAGTTTACGGCTCTTCTCGTTTGACGTGGTTTTTTATCATTTCCAGAGAAAGGTTGCACCGCCCTGCCAAGTTTGCAAGGGGAAAGGATTTGTTCCATGCAAGCTCTGCAAAGGCAGCTCCACCGTTAGCTGGTCGCCATTGTTTGATCCGGTCTTCATCAAGCCTTGCGTCTGCCCAACCTGCGAAGGCAACAGGTAGCTACTCGCATCTTGATCGATTTCTTCTCACCATTGCTTTGTCCAGAGTACAACGTTGCCTCAATTGCATTGGCAACGGCTTCGTCTAGAAATACTTTAACTTTGAGCGTGCAGCGTGTGAACAAAAGTGGAAACTTTTTTTTCTTTTTCAGTTTTCTTTCTTTTCCAGTTGGTTTTTTTTTTTTTTTTTCCTTCTCTTTTGGTAGATCGCTTTACCGCGTTTCGGCTTGCATGCAGAGAACACGTGGCCATCTCTTCTTGAGCCAAATGGTAAGTGCCCGAGGTCTTTATAGTGTCTTGTTGCGAGTGTTAACTCCCCTCCTTGATTGAATGGGAGCCTGCAGTATTGCATTCTTCTCAACTTTGAGGAGACGGGGCGTTGTTTCGAAGCTCGGGAGGGCTCCAACGTTTTACGTGGTAAGGAGCCAGTTTCTTCAAACTATTCGTTTCTTCACGGCTGTTCTTCTAGTGAACGCAGAGTAGGATATCATCAATGGCTAAAGAAGCAGCAAGCGCCGAGGCTGTGGCTAATGTCCCCGGCCTCCGGCATACTGTGTGGGATCAGGACCAGCAGCTTCCGAAGTATCCCCGGATCGCGAAAGACGAGTCCGCTGATGTTGTGGTCGTGGGTGCTGGTATTGCTGGCATGAATGTTGCCTACAATCTTATCAAGGAGGGGAAGTCTGTTATAGTACTGGAAGGAAGGACTAGAGGTTTGTCCCTTTCGTGCTTGTTTTTTTTTTCTTTTCATTTCTTGCATTTTGTCCCTGTGCTTGACGAAGCGTTGTTCAGGTAGTGGACAAACAGGGAGAACCACGGCTCACATTATGCCCTGGAATGACGACTTCTACTATATGCTAGAGCAGCAGCACGGTGCTCAGGTGGTTAAACATGTGGCTGAAAGCCATAGAAGTGCGATCGAATGGGTTGCCAACACTGTTCAGGAGGAAAAGCTCGACTGCCACTTCAAGCGCCTGGATGGGTATCTGTTTCCGTGCAATGAATCCTCTACTGAGCACGATAAGTTACAGAAGGTTCGTGTATATACTGCTACGAGCTAGTTCAAAGCTGACACGGACTTGATGACAGGAGTTTGAGGCTTGCAAGAAATTCGGGTTTGATAGCGTGGAGCTGGTGGACTTGGGTGGTGATCCTTCGGTCGGCAAGATTCACAAGGCATTGCGATTTCCCGACGCAGCCGAGTTTCATCCTCTTATGTAAGCAGTGTTTACAAAGCAGCTTCTATAGTGTTGACGCAGCCTTTTCTTCACAGGTATATAAACGGATTGGCCGAAGCATTCGTTCGTCGGGGTGGTAAAATTTACGAAATAAGTAGAGTGATGGAGATAGATGGAGGAAGTCAAGTTAAAACAGCGGACGGCGTCAGTGTTAGCACCGGAGCTGTGGTTGTGGCAACGAACTCCCCTTTGAACCATGACCTGTTCGTGCACGCACGCCAGGCAGCCAGCCATTCGTATGTTGTAGGCTTGAAAGTTCCTAAAGGCTCTGTCAGGTATTGTTTTGCTTTTGGTTTTGTCTCATTCCCCAGACACTAGACATTTTTTACTATTTGCTTCAACAGGACAGCCGAGTGGTGGGATACTGATTCGCCTTATCATTATGTGCGGCTGGAAGAGAAAGATGGCTACGACGTTTTGATTGTTGGCGGTGGTGACACAAGCACTGGAATGAAGCCTTCCGAGTACAAGGATACTTACGGGGAGCTGGCCAACTGGGCTCGAGCGCGTTGGACGAGCGCTCAAGAAGTTCTTTACACATGGACAGGACAGGCAAGAAAACAATGTACCACTGGTTTCGATGACTAAATCTTCCCTCGCAATACAGGTCTTTGAACCGGCAGACAAACTGCATCTTATCGGATTGGAGCCTCTGGAGTCCCTCAAAGGCAGCAATCAGTACATCGTGACAGGTTCGTAGTCGTTCTTATGCTTCTCTCCTTCTCCTTTCTTTCCAAGTTGAGATGTGTGGTATAGGTGATAGCGGCCAGGGAATGACAGGAGGAACTATCGCGGGGATCCTCATCAGAGACCTCATATTGGGACGGCCGAATCCATGGGCTGCTGTCTATAGTCCAAAGCGGTTGCTGCCGCTGGACGTGTCGACAATTAAATCTACGGTGGAAGAAGCCAATCACACGTTCCAGGTAGATACACGAGGCTGATTTC